GGGATACAAATAGGAAACCCTAGAAGGGTTGTACTCGCTATAGAGCACCCCACTACAGGCTAGAGCATAAGATAACATTCTGACACACCCCCATAGCCAAAGTGGGGTGTAATCAGCAGAGCAAGCAAAGCAGTACAAGCTCAGGGTGGATCACAATGTCACCACACATTCTGAGCACAAGTTCAAGAAGCAATAGTTTAAAGTTAAGAATCCTCGTGTACAGCATGACTCGGGAGCAGCACTTACAGGACTTTGAGGAGGTGTTCCGGCGCTTGCAGCAGAACCGACTGATTACGAAGGGCTCTAAGTGTGAGTTCTTACACCCAGAGGTGGAGTTCCTGGGGCACGTGGTTTCGGGAGAGGGTATTAAAATCGACCCGCGCAAAGTAAAAGCAATTTCGGGGTGGAAGCCGCCCACGAAGATCACGGAGTTGCAGAGTTTCCTCAACTTCGTTAACTACGTCCGCCGTTTTGTACCGAATATGCGGGGGCAACCAGGCCGTTAACCGATCTTATGCATAAGGGCGTGCAATTTTGTTGGGGGGAGAGAGAGCAGCTGGCCTTCGACGAGCTGAAGAAAATTTTGAGTTCACCCCCGGTGCTTCGGCTGGCAGATCCATCTCGACCGTTCGAAGTCGTGACGGACGCCAGCGATTTCGCCGTCGGCGCCGTCCTCCTACAGGACTTCGGCAACGGGCTGCAACCCATCGCGTACGAGTCTAGAAAAATGCAGCCGCCCGAGCGCAACTACCCTGTACATGACAAGGAAATGCTCGCCATCGTGCAAGCATTTCGTACCTGGCGCTGTTACCTCACGGGAACCGACGTCACGATCAGGACAGACCACAAGTACAGTACATGCGCAGCCAACCACAGCTCAATCCGCGACAAATTCGGTGGCTCGACTACCTCGAGTCAAACTTCAGCTACACCATCACGTACAAAAAGAGCGCCAACAACATCGCCGACGCCCTGAACCGCCTATCAATGCAGACCGCAGCAGTACTAATCGCCCATTCTAACCCTTTATTGGCAGGACTGTTCAAGCACGGCTACAGGACTGACATGTTTTTCAGGACCAACCAACACCAACGGGTCACCACGGCGCATGGGAGCTATTACCTAAAAGTCGGCACCAACCGAGTTTGGTGAGAAGAAACGAGAATGAATGACTAAGGAATGAAAGTGATACAAGTATGCAACCCTAGCATTGTGTACCCCATATAGGCTACCCCACTACAGCCTACACAACATTATAATTTGACATTTGGGTACCTTCCTACCGACCCTTACGAGAATTGCTGACGTAATAAGTCTACGACTCCAATCTCTCCGGGCATTTCGGCGTCGACAAAACATTGAAGCTGCTGGAGCGGAATTACTACTGGCCCGACATGGCGTCGGACGTGCAGCACTACGTGTCCGCCTGCTCGACCTGCCAAGCAATGAAATCATAACCTCAACGCCCAGCTGGATTGCTGCAACCTCTCGAGCCACCCGAACGACCGTGGCAACATGTGACAATGGACTTTGTCAACGGGCTTCCAGCTGGCGCAAGTGGCAACGATTCGGTGCTGGTCGTCGTCGACCGCTTAACGAAAATGTCGCATTTTGCACCATGCCGCACGACGATCATAGTCGAAGAAACAGCGAAGCTCTTCATCTCGACCGTCGTGCGACTCCACGGGTTACCTTCGGCAATCATCAGCGATCGGGACCCGAAATTTACGTCCAAATTCTATCAGGAGACATGGGCACATTACGGCACCCGCCTGCGGTTTTCGTCGTCATACCACCCGCAAACCGACGGGCAGACTGAGAGGACAAACCAGACGATGGAGCAGTTGATTCGCACGAATTGCCCCGACATCACCAAATGGGAAGATTCGCTTCCCATGCTCGAATTTGCGTACAACAACGCCCCGTCTGCAACGACCAATCAATCGCCGTTTTACCTCAATTACGGGATAGATCCGGTGGTACCCTCTTCAACGACTTCAGAAAATCCGGTACCACGGTCGCATCAATTTGTTTCGGAACTTCAAGCAGCACGCGACAAGGCAGCGGAATTTATACAAAAGACTAATACGTCCGCCAGCTGCTACGCCGAGCGATATCGACGGAATTTTCCCTTCCGTGGTGGGCAGATGGTCCTACTGGATACAAAGAAGCTCCGACCGCTCGAGCCTGCGAAATTACGTCCCCGATATGTGGGACCTTTCCGCATCATCCGGATGCTGACCCCGGTCACAGCGAAACTCCTGCTCTCGGACGACTGGAAGATCCACGACGCTTTCCACGTCAGTTTACTCTGCCACCACGTGACCCCACAGCTGTCTGACGTCGCTCGACCCAACATCGCGCCAAGTGTCCGGCCCGTAGCAGACCCGACACTCTAGCCTTGGAAGATTCTGAATCATCGCATTCGTGCGACACCAGCTGGACGCCACATCGATTTCCTTCTACGTTGGGTGGACCGCACAAGCGAAGATGACACGTGGGTCCCTGCTGACTCACTACAAGTCCACTCGGTGTTTCGGGACTATCTTTCCTGCCGACGCGTGTTTCATATTGACCACCTTTCTGTAGGGGAGGGGGGGGGGGGGGGGGGGGGGGGGGGGGGGGGGTAGTGTAAGGAATTTTGCTAATTCCTTACTGCGGCACTTCTTACGCGTACATTCCCAACTTTCAGAGTTCAGGCTCGGTCCGTCGACCTCGCCTTCTGAACGTCCTCCACGTCGCCTTCGGGTTTTCCAACCCCAAACCTGCACCGAACCTTCGCGCGACTCCGCGACCTCGGCCTAGCTAGCTTTGCTATGTTATGCCTAGGCCTCATTGTTTGCTCAGTAGTTGTAATCACGTCCGTGTTATTGAATACTGCGCACTCTTCTTTCGTACAACTCATGAAACTGCTTGTTCTATTGTAACAATTGACGTGATGGCTACCTTGTCGAATTGATTCAATTCTTCTCGCCCATGCGAGCAGCTTCTCGTCAAGCTCAAGGGCGCGTTGGCGAAACAGTGCTTACATCGTGCATAGCTGTAACAGAAGCCGTTTCCCCAAAACACACAAATTTGCTCTGTAAGTTTCGATCTGCACTACCCCATCACAAGCGAACGAGAAATTTTCAGTTCCCCTTTCCCTCATGAATCGCCACCGCGGTCCCGCGAATCGCGCCGCCGCCGCTCACGCCGGTTGGCTGTCCCGCGCAGTAAGCGCCGTGTTCTCGGTGGTTGCCGTGGCGGAGTTTGAGATTCTGTTCGTCGCGTTTCTTGTCCTCGTCTACCTCTTCGTCCGCGACCTGGTAAGACCTGGAAGACAGTCCGCATCATACGGTGCTTTTGGGGTACTCCGTTAAGCGTGATCCTGTTCGCAATCCTATTCGTTGATCCTTCTCGTCGTATTGAAATTCTATAACACGTAATTTGAGCGTCTCAGACGTGACATCCAGGATTTGCATGTGCCGTGAAGCATGTCGCACGGTCTGACGCATGTCGCAAGATCTTATGCATGTCGCACGGTCTGACGCATGTCGCACGGTCTGACGCATGTCGCAAGATCTTATGCATGTCGCACGGTCTGACGCATGTCGCACGGTCTGATGCATGTTGCGTTAGGGCTTGTTATCTCGCCTTGTGCCATGCTTGCTACTACGTCATGCGCACTTAGTCTGTCTTTCGTCGTGTCAGTGTCTCGCATTTTGTTTCTCGCTTTTTGATTGGGTTTTATTTCGCCGTACTCCCTCCTCACCTCGCTTCCTCTCGCTCAACCCCCCTCACCCCCTGCGCCCCCGCTCCCCCCAATCTCCCCCCTGTTCCCCGGTTTTCCCCCTCCCCTTGCATGGGCTCATCCGACGGCCGCAGCTGCAGCAGCCGCGGTTCAGCGGGATATTCGCGCACAAGTCCAGCCAGGCGGAGTTCGGGTTCCTCTTCGGGGGTGGGGGCGCAAGGGGGGGAGGCGCAGCTGGGGGAGCGGGCGGGGCAGGCGGAGCATTTGGGGGAGGACAAGGCGCGTTCTAGTTTGGGTCGGTTGGGGTTTTCCGGTTTCGTCGCAGCTGCTGTCGCTGCTGTTGCTGCTGCTGCTTCTGCTGCTGCTGTTGCTGCTGAGGGGGAGGTGGAAGGGAGGCGGGGAAGGTGGGAGGGCGATGATATTCATAATCAATTAACAACAGGACACACAATTCCTCATCTCATCTCCGTGACTACGTCCGCACTGACTGCCGGCGACAGGTGGCGCGTGGGCACGTGAGCAGGGCACGTGTGTCTAGTGACTGGCACGTGTCACGCGGTAGGCAGGCAGACAGGTCTCTCTCTCTCCCCCAGCGAAGCAGCCAGTCGGGAGAGTGTTTGCCCTGCATTGTCAGGCAGGAAGGCAGGCAGGCAGGCAGGGAGGCAGGGACGACACCATGTTTCGCAACACATTCCAATCAGGCTTCCTCTCAATCCTCTACAGCCTAGGGTATGTGCACTGTACACCCTCGCCTGCTCCCTCTCCCCCTCTCCTCTCTGTTTCGACCATCACTCCATACGCATGTTCCCCTACCTCCCCCATGTTCCCCTACCTCCCCCATCCTCCCCCCCCCTCTCTTGCCCCCCCCTTCTCCGTCCCGTCTCCCCTCTGTTCCTCCTGTTTCCCTCGTTTTGTCTTGTATCCTTGTACCCTGCTGCCCGCCTGTTCCTCTTGTTTACTCTAACCTGCTCCTGTGCTCGTTCTTGCGTCTCCTTTCCCTCTCCCCTTCTCTCCCCCCCCTCCTCCCCCCCCCCCCCCCCCCCCCCCCTCCCTCCCCTGCTTTTTGCGTTTTGGATGGGGTGCTCGAGTGTGCGTTTCTGGGTGTGTGTGGGCTGTCAATTGGGGTGGCATGCGTATGTGTGCGTCTGTATGTGTGGGGGGGGAGGGGGGGGGGGGGGGGGGGTGGGGGCGGGGGAGCATGGAGGGAAAATTTGTGCATGCACATGAATGAATGGGGGATGTTGTTATGGCTCAATGACCATGCCATGCCATGCCTTACTCCGCTGTGGGCTCACGGCTCTCACTCTCCACGACGGCCGTTTGGGCATTATGCAGCACCAAGCCCCTTCAGTTGTGGGCCAAGGAAGGTACGCTGTCTGCTGCCATTGACGCCGATAGATGCCATAGGTCTCATCCGTGCTATCAGTGCGAGCGACGCCTTTTGCTGCACCTCCCTTGGCCCTTCCACGATTCAACAAACTCGACCACCTGCCGTTCCACCCTCTCAGCCTACTTTCTCCCCCCACCTCCCATCCCACCCTCTCCCTTTTCCATTTGGCATTGGCGCTTCTCAGTAAACACAAGTCCCTCTTCACCCATTTCCGCTGCCTACCCTCCAATCTACCACTTCCCTCTCCTTCTCCCCCACACTCTCCCATTCTCTCACCCCCTCCCCCTTTCCCCCACTCCTCTTACCCCACACGTACCTCTCTCCGCAGAGGTCGAGGGTACGGTGAAGCGAGTCACATACCCAGACATTCAGTCAGCCGCCATAGATGCTTCTAGATTCAACTCGACCCCCTCCCCCCCCCACCCTCTCCCCCACTCCCTTCCTGCCCCTCCCTCCCTCGCCCCGTTACCTTTCTTATGCAGAAGGCGAGGGCACAGTGAAGCGAGTGACATAGGCGGCCATCCATTCGGCCACCATCAATGATGCTTGACTCAACTCAACCCCCCGACCACGCCACCCTCTCCTCCTCACTCCATTCCCCTCTTTCCCTCCTTGCCACCTTTTTCCCGCAGAGGGCGAGGGCACAGTGAAGCGGGTGACAGACGCGGACATCCAGTCGGCCGCCATAGAGCTCCTGTCGCCCAACATCCGCACCACGCTCATCGCCTGCCCTCCCGACCCCTCGGCCGCGCTGGGCATCAAGCTGCCGTTCCTGGTGCTGGTGCTGAAGCCCCTGGACCGCTACTTCTCATTTGAGGTCACTGTGTTGGACGATAAGAACGTCAAGCGGCGCTTCCGTGCCTCCAACTACCAGGTGTGAGGGCGGGGTAGAGAGTGGGGAGAAGGGGAGAGGGGGGAGGGAGAGATGTTGGATGAGGGAGGGCAGGGATGAGGGGAGGGAGTGGGATGGTTGAGGGGTTGAGTGAGAGATGAGCTGTTTGGATTTATGGGGGCCCTTCTAATCCTTCTTTTTCTTTTCCCCCCATCCCTCTTTCCCATCTCCCCCCCTCCATCTTTCCATGCTTCAGTCGACCACGCGGGTGCTGCTATTCATCTGGACGATGTCTTTCATGAATTCTCAAGCCAACCCCCCTTTCTGCTCCCTCTCTTCCACCTACACTCCCCCCTCTGCTCCTCCCCTTCAGTCCACCACGCGCGTGCGGCCGTTCATATGCACGATGCCGCTGCGCCTGGAGGCGGGGTGGAACTCGCTGCTCTTCAACCTCGCTGACTTCACGCGGCGTGCGTACGGCACGGGGTACGTGGAGACGCAGCGAGTGCACGTGCACGCCAGCTGCCGCCTGCGCCGCATCTACTTCTGCGACCGCGTCTACTCCGACGACGAGCTCCCGCCCGAGTTCAAGCTCTTCGTGCCCTCCAAGGTGCGTGTGGTGTGGTGCGCCTGTGAGTTGAGATGAAAGGGTTCAATGCGGTGTACCCCGCAAGGTGTGCCCGTTTGGGAGATGGACTGGCGTTGGAGTTTGAGCTCTTTGTGCAGGCCGAGGCTTAGGGTGCGCAAGGGATCGACAGGTATCGCATTATTGAGACGTCCTTGAAAGGCTGCATATATTTTTGCGACCGTGTCTTCTCTAACGGCCTGCTCCCGCCCAAGTTCAAGCTCTTTGTGCCCTCCAAGGTGGGTGTGGTGCGGTGCGCCTGTGTTGAGATGGGGTGGCTCAATACGCTGTCCCCTACACCCCCAAGGTGTGCCCGTGTGGAAGATGAGCTGCCTCCCGAGTTCTGATGCTTGCTTGCCAAGTTTGTGTGAGCGAGAGTGAGCAACGGTGTACGCATGCACGTGCGCAGACACACGCATGCACGTGTCTCACTGGACACGCGGCATTTACCAGTGCTTGTACTCATGTATGCATATCCAACGTAATGGTTCTTACTTGCATGCCTTTCCTTGCTGCGCTTTACTGTTATTACTTCGGTGCAGGTCAAATAAATCCCATCATCATCCGGTAGGATATTTCGCCTGTTATTTCCCCCTTTTCCTGGCTCACTTATTTCGCCTTGTGTATCCAAGACTTGCCCTTCTAAAGTGAATGCATGCATGAAAGGTTAGGACTATTGTCCTCACAAACAGTGACCCAAAATTCTGCCTGTTTCTTTAGTCTTTTATCGAGTGCAACCAAATGCTACAACATTCTGCCCAGGAGGAGTAACTCCGGGTGAGGTACTCCGAGTAAGGGCCATGGATCACTGCCTTGGTGCGCAAGTGAGACTGTTTGAGGAATCAATGGATGGACTACGGCCAATAAAAGAGCGACAAGTCTCATCACCGACCAGATTTTCAACAGATCCAGCGGTGCTGGAGGAGAGCCGATTTCCAGCTGAGTTTGGCCAATGGGTTTGCTTTGCGCCACTTTTTTTTTGCAAGCATCACGCATCATCAGCCAAGAGCAGGTTTCTCTGTGAGTACATGTTGGAGACTCTAGCGAATAGCATCGCGACACGATACAAATTACTTTTCTGAAGCAAATGCCAGCGACTACACTTCCACCATGCCTCTGCCCTCAGCAGAACATTCTTTGGGTGCTCAACTGGTGACGTCATCCCTTAGAAATCCCTTTCCTGCCCTTGAACTTTTTCGTTGGGTGACGGAGCAGCCTCTCGTTTCGGCAATCCCGTTGCGCCTGCCAGTGTGTCACTTTCCGCCCTCCGTTTCCGCCTACCTCCTCCCATTCCGCCAAAGTTTCCGCCGGTGTTTCTCTCGGGATCTCCTCCATCTCTCCCGCTCTCCAAACAACCAATCAGCAAAGCTCCTCTTGTTTCTCTGCTTCGCGCTGGGTATAGATTCCTTTCCTCCTCTACTTTTATTTTACGACAGACCACGATTAGATTCGAGCGTCAGTATAACGCACGCACGTAGTCTTGCGAGCTAATCGATCGATTGCTCTACCTCGCACAAATCCAAGAAAACCCGTGCAGCACACAACCAGAGATCTACCAGGTCTAGCACCTTGGCTTTCAGGCGCCCAAGACCACACCGTTCTCGCAGCCTCCAGTGAACTCGGTTCTTCAAGAAACAGCATGGCGGATCCGTCAAATGAGATCGAGAACGAGCCCATTCTGCGGCCCAACCCGCAGCGGTTCTGCATGTTTCCGATTAAGTACAACGAGGTGTGGGAGTTCTACAAGAAGGCCGAAGCCAGCTTCTGGACCGGTACGATACGACCCACTCCTGCGCGCGGGTCCGACAGCATCGTCCTCGCGCGAGGTCTCCTGTATTGCGTTCGCCGCATTGTTTGCATTCGATGCATTTAATGCCCTTGAACGCTACAAGATGCGCTCTTTCCCACCGCCTATGACGGTTTCATCCGGTCTTGTGCCGCTATTCCAGTTGCCTGTCGCGTGTGGCTCCAATCAGGTTGAGACTGCCTTTCCCGTCTCACTTTCACACTCTCACACGCTTGCGTATTGCCCTTCTGCGTGCTTTCCCGCTATGCTTTCTTCTCGTGTTTCAACGCGCCACGTGCCACGTGTCATGGCGGCAGCGGAGGAGGTGGACCTTTCGCAGGACGTGCAGCACTGGGAGGGGCTGACGGGCGACGAGCGGCACTTCATCCTCATGGTGCTCGCCTTCTTCGCCGCATCTGACGGCATCGTCCTCGAGAACCTCGCCGTGCGCTTTATGAAGGAGATCCAAATCCCCGAGGTACCGTACCTTACCGTACCTAACGTAGCTTATTGTTCTCAAGGTGCATATTACGACCGTCCGACACGTGGCACGTCTTGCAATCCAGATGCGGCCATTCTTCCCGTGCTGTCACTCTCCCTTGTTGTCACACTCCTTTGTTGTCACTCTCCCTGTGCTGTCACTCTTTTCTGTCACTCGCAGGCCAGAGCGTTCTATGGCTTCCAGATCGCCATCGAGAATATACACTCAGGTACGCACTCGCGCCGCCCGCCCTTCCCCTTTCAAGGTGCTCTCTTGCGCCGCTTGCCATTTTCCACACGTCTCCCTTACCCTCTCCTCCCGTCCCTTTTTCGCGCGCCCCCTTGTTCTCTTCCCCACACCTCCGACCGCTCCCCTCCTCCCACAGTCATCCGCACACTTCCCCTCCCCTGCTCCCCTCCCCTCCCCTAACCCCACCGTGCGCAGAGATGTATAGTCTGCTGCTGGAAACATACATGATGTACCCCTCCTCTCACCCTTCCCCCTCCCCGCCCGCTTCCACCTCCCCGCCCGCTTCCCCCTCCCCTCCCGCCTTCCCCACATGGGCGCGCAGAGATGTACAGTCTGCTGCTGGAGACATACATCAAGGACCCGGACGAGAAGGACCGGCTGTTCCGCGCCATAGAGACGGTGCCGTGCGTGCAGAAGAAGGCCGAGTGGACCACGCGCTGGATCGACGGCCACTCCAGGTCAGCCCTCACATGCGGGTGGGGGTTGGGAGGTGCGGGGGGTTCAATCAGGCCATAGTGTGCAGATCCGTTGCCGTGATGAGCAGCTTTCAATCAGCCCATAGCGCGCACAGAGTTGTTTTGCTCGAAACCACATGTTTCTAAGTTTCGCGCTGCTGTTGCTGCCGTTCTCCGTTGCACCTCCCTCTTCCATTCTCCTCACTCCTTCCCCCTTCTCACCTCCCCTACCATTCCCCACCCACACCACACTGTGCGCTTGCGCGCGTGCGTGCGAGCAGCAAGACGAGCTTCGCGGAGCGCATAGTGGCGTTCGCGTGTGTGGAGGGGATTTTCTTCTCTGGCAGGTAGGTGATGTGCTGTTCACTGCTTCGCTGCACCCTGCGCTGCCAAACCATACCTTGCGCGAAGGACAATTAGAGCAGAGCTGAGTGCCCGGAGAATAGTGGCGTTCGCGTGTGTGGAGGGGATCTTCTTCTCTGGCAGGTTGGACCAACTGACACGCTGCTACTCCCTGCCCCGCTGCCCCCTTCCTTACCAAGCCATGCCGTGCCATACCCTGCCGCGCCACAACACCCGACATGCCGTGTCTTCCCTGTTGCCTGCCTTCCTTGCTGCCTGCGTTGCTGCCTCGCTGCCATGCCCGTATAACTGCTTGTATACATCTCTGTTGCGCTCCCACCCCTCGCCTCACCATCCGTTTCCGTGCCAATTTCTGGCTGCAAATAGACAACCTGTTGCTCCTGACGCACGTGTGTCCACTCTCCATGCCCCTTCCCCGGCACTTCTTTCCCCTTACTCCAACCCGCCGCCACCCGCGCCCTCCCCGCTTCCTCCTCTCTGCTCCCCCTCCCCCAACAGTTTCTGCGCCATCTTTTGGCTGAAGAAGCGCGGGCTGCTGCCAGGGCTGACCTTCTCGAACGAGCTCATCTCCCGCGATGAGGGCCTGCACACTGACTTCGGCTGCCTCATCTACTCGTGCGTGCTGTGGGAGGGTGCGCGGTGGTTGAAGGGGGTTACAGGGCATGGCATGTGGTGGTTGGATGAGAGGGAGGGACGGAGAGGGGAGGGGGAAGGGGGGAGTGAGGGAGGGAGCGTGGAGGGAGGGAGGAGGAAAGGGCCAATACTCACCTTGAAACTCGACCCAAAACTCGCCTCAGATCTCGTTATTTTTCGGCATGCTGCTGTTGCAGAATTTGTGAAAAGAGCGCGTGAAGGAGAACACCTGAGACCCACCATAGATGTGGTTTCATAGAAAACAAGGCCTGGTTCGGTTCCTGACAATTCTCTGCATTGTCCCCGTCGTCCCCGTCGTCCCCCTCGTCCTCCTGAGCAGGCTGCTGGAGAACAAGCTGTCAGAGGAGCGTGTGAAGGAGATCCTGTGTGATGCGGTGGCGATTGAGGAGGAGTTCATTCGCGATGCGCTACCCACGGAGCTGGTGGGCATGAACGCCACGCTCATGTGCCAGTACATCGAATTTGTCGCTGACCACCTGCTGGTATGCACGCTGCATGCACTGATGGGGAGTTTATGGTAGCAGGGGGGGGAGGGAAGCTTGCTACCCACGGAGCTGGTGGGCATGAACGCCACGCTCATGTGCCAGTACATCGAATTCGTTGCTGACCACCTGCTGGTACGCACGCTGCACCTGGACGCCCTGTACGAATTCATGTGCCACATGGGTATGGGCCATGATTACGTGGTGTCATGTAATGTACCAGGGCCTTTGGCTTCCTTAGCATATTTGGCCTATCTTTTTGGTCATGTGCAGCACCAGCACTCTTTTGCTTCGTTGTGTCAACCTCTGTCATCCATTCCTCCTAATCGATTTCGGTGTTGATCTGATTTTTTTTTTTCTTTTCCCCTGTGTTTGTGTGTCTTACTCTCTTTCCGGGACCTGTGGTGGTTCAGATTGCGCTGGGGTGCAGCAAGCAATACAACGCCACTAACCCCTTTGACTGGATGGAGCTCATCTCACTGCAGTGAGTCGCAATGCAACCCTGCATGCCTCATACCGCCCTAGCTTCCCTTGGTTTGCACCGGCCTTAAAGTCGGCCCCACCATGCATGCATCCACCGCCGCCATCATTACCACCACCCCCATCACCACCCCCATCACCATCACCATTACCCACCTTACCCCTTTCCCCTTCGCTCTTCCGCGCTCCCCTGCCTCCCTCCTTCCGCCTACCTCCCCCCAGGGGCAAGACGAATTTCTTTGAGAAGCGGGTGGGCGAGTACCAGAAGGCCTCTGTGATGTCAGGGCTGAATGGCGCCCCTGGACAGGGCCGAGTCTTCAGCACGGATGAGGACTTCTGAGGGGTCTTAATGGGTTGTGTGGGGCGAATTGGGACGAAGTGCTATGTCAGTCGAATACGAATAACAGGGTAAAGTATTTACGGTAGGATTTGTAACCGTGCACTAATGGTTGGAGGAGAGGTGGTGAAGGAGGGGGGAACGGAATATGATATGGTGGTGGAACTATGTTTGTGGTCCAATCCATGGCAGTTACATTTATCACAGAGCGGTCCGTCGTTCTGTTGTACCGCACGGCTATAATCCTTCTGATATACCAGGCTCTTGGTACCCTGCGATATTACATAAGATTTTACTGTACGTTTTCTAATACCAGCTTTAGGGTACACCTCAAACGTAGATATTGTTGGGCTGAAAAGCCCTTAGGATCTTTGCAGAGGTGAACTCTGGGTAGAGTTGGTGTAGTAGCGGAAACGCTTGATAAAGAGTTGTGAACCACCTTGCGCTAGTATGTGAGGGCAAAGTGTGTTGATTAAAGCTAAGAGATACAGGATTATATAAGAGTACAAGGAATACGAAGAGATACGGTTATAACTACTTTACTGTTGCTGTTGCGGTTGGATACAGTGACGACCCGGGCAACTGCTCTATAGCGATTCAGTTGTGTGTCCTTGCTGTCGTGCTGTACTTGTCAGGTCAAAGGTCGCTGACCTTTGACTTTCGCGTAACCTCTAGCAACCGCTCAACCTCCGAGGGTTGACTCGCCGGTGCTTCGATATACTTCGCTTCCCTTCTCACTTGGTGTTTCGACACGACAGAGGCGCTTAGGACCGATTGTTTCCAACACTCCCCTTCGCTTCTGGAGTGTCGCTGACGTGGCTCTGTCCAGTCAGCAGCAGGGCCTCAGATATCAGGAAAAAAACCCTGAAATTCCTGATTTTGGCAGCCCTTTTTTTACCTACACTGAAAAATCAGCGTTGAGATTTTTGTGGGACTGATCTTTCAGCCTTTTTTGTTAGGCCACACTGAAATTTCAGACTTTCGTTTCCCAAGTACACTGATTCTACGGCGTTGTAACGAAACTAACACTGAAAGCAATTCTTACTTGTTCCGTGTGCATTTGCCCGCAAAACAGGGAATCTCATATTCCTGCGGTGCCAGCACTTCATTGGGCAGTAACGCTGTAGCATGAAGTGATAGCTAATCAGGATGTGGCAACCATGTTGTGCTGGAGGGCTGCGAGGGTTCCTGCACCAGCAAGCACTGATGCTCCCATTCCCTCCAACCCAATCTCTTGTTTCTTTTCCTCCTGTTTCTCTCCCTCTCCCTCTCAGCCTGATTCCTCTCTTGCTTTCTCGTCTGCACTAATTCATGGCGCCATCAGCACCAGAAAGGGCGGGCTGTCGGGAATCGAACCCATCGCAAGCGCCGCCGAATCTCCTCTTGTCTCACCGAACACATCGCTCTCGTTCGACGCGATCCGCAGTGCATTCTGCTAGATGGTCGTAGACCACGTGGCAATTCCCGTCGGCGTCGCAGGCCCGCTACGACTCGACGACACGTAGTTTTTCGTGCTAATGGCGGCAACCGAAGGCTGCCTCGTCGCCAGCACGAACCGCGGTTGAAAAGGCCATCTGCTCCGCGTGCGGTGCGCAGATCGTCGTGCTGCGCGACGACATGATCCGCGCATGACCCGCGCGCCCGCCGTCCATTCCTCTGCTCCCTTTGCCCTGCACTCCGTGCACTCCATCTCTCCCCCAGTCGTCTCCCCCCCAACTGTGCCAATCTTCCCCCCTCTCTCCCTCCTGTTCTCTCTTTCCCTGCCTCACCCTGCCTGTCAATCCGGTTCCTCCTCCACACCCTGCCCCTGCAGCTTCAACGTGTATGTGTGTGCTGCGGCAGAGCACTGTCACGTACTGGTGTCCCAAGCTGAGGAGAGGAGAGAAGCCAAAGGCAGTCATGATAACACGGCTGCTACTGACTTAGTATTTGAAGTAGAGGTTTCTAGTAATTAACAACCTTTTATATTTTTGAACACTGATACATCAGCCTTTTTTCAAAGGGAACCCTGATATGTCAGGTTTTTTTTTTTTAGAAACACTGTCAATCAGGGTTTATACACAAGGGTACCCTGATGGGTCGACGACCCTAAAAGTGAATCTGAGGCCCTGGTCAGCAGCATGCAGTATTCGAATTTCTGCTTTCCGAGCTTCTTGGTCAGGTAGTCAGCTGCCATCTCGGACGTGGGACAGAATGACAGCTCGAGCCTTCCCTTCTCGATCTCGTCCTTCACGAAGAAATATCGCAGGGCGATGTGTTTCGTCCTGTTCGCGAAGCCGTTCTTGTAGTAAGTTAGGCCGATCGTTGGGGTGCTGACGAAGTAGTGTAGAGCGCGGTCGAGCTCCGCCAGATGTTCTACTTCAGGCTTCTTGAGGTAGGTGGCGAGCTGGCTTGCGAAGTATGAGAGGTCGGGGCGACAGGTGACGGCTGCGAAGAGAAGACATCCCAGCTTCTTCTGGTAGTCTCGTATGCCGGCGGGCTTAAGTAGAGCGGAGCTTCCTTTGTCGTTCCCTGTCGTGTATCGGTATGGCGTGGAGATGGCTGTCGATATGAGCGTAAAGCGTTTGGCAATAGTGTCAGCATATTTCTCGGCGCTGAGGTAGATCGCGTCCTCCTCTTCCCGGATGTTGAGGCCGAGGTACTGAGTGACGGTAGATGAAACTGTGAGCGTGAGATCTCGATGCAGCTCCCCTTCGAACCAGGTACTGATGCCGTCAGTTGAGCCGATGTAAAGGAGATCGTCCACGTAGACGATTAGTAGGATGTAGTCGTCGTTTTTTGTGAGCCGGTACATGCCTTGATCGTGCGGTAGTTGCTTGAAGCCGATGCGGATGAGGCGAGCGTGCAGGTACTGTTGCCACAGTCGCGGAGCCTGCTTGATGCCGTAGAGTGACTTGAGTAGCTGGCAGACTTGGTTGGGTTCTCTGTGGGAGCCGTGCGGTAGCTGTCAAATTATAATGTTGTCTAGGCTTTAGTGGGGTAGCCCATATGGGGTACACATTTCTAGGGTTGCATATTTGTATCACTTTCATTCCATAGTCATTCCATTCTCGTTCTAATTTCCTCATGGTATCGAGCAGGTTCCCCCGTAGGAACTGTGCCTAGGGCCCACCACATCGAGTTTTTTTTTCCTGCCCGAAGCGCGCTCAGCCCGAGTCGCGCTCCGGGCTCTCACTTCGTCGAGCCGCCCTAGCGGCCCCGCAGCCCGTCGATTCGGCCCCGCCGCCCTTCGCTGCGGCTCCGCCGCCCTTCGCTGCGGCCCCGCAGCCCTTCACTGCGGCCCCGCCGCCCGTCTCAGCGGCCCCGCCGCCCGTCTCAGCGGCCCCGCCGCCCTTTGCTGCGGCCCCGCTGCCTCTCTCGCTGCGGCCCCGCCGCCCTTCTCAGCGGCCCCACCGCCCTTCGCTGCGGCCCCGCCGCCCGTCTCAACGGCCCCGCCGCCCTTCGCTGCGGCCCCGCCGCCCTTCGCTGCGGCCCCGCCGCCTCACATTGCGGCCCCGCCGCCCGTCTCAGCGGCCCCGCCGCCCTTCTCAGCGGCCCCGCCGCCCTTCGCTGCAGCCCCGCCGCCCGTCTCAGCGGCCCCGCCGCCCTTCGCTGCGGCCCCGCCGCCTCTCTCGCTGCGGCCCCGCCGCCCTTCTCAGCGGCCCCGCCGCCCTTCTCTGCGGCCCCGCCGCCTCTCTCACTGGGGCCCTGCCGCCATTCTCAGCGGCCCCGCCGCCCTTCACGGCGGCCCCGCAGCCCTTCACTCCGGCCCCGCCGCCCCTCCCACTGCGGCCCCGCCACCTACCTTGCGGCCCCGCCGCCCTACCAGCGGCCCTACCGCCCTACACCGCCCGCGCCGCCCGAGCCGCCCGAGCCGCCCGAGCCGCCCGAGCCGCCCGAGCCGCCTGAGCCGCTGAGGAGCCGAGCCGCCCGAGCAGCCCGAGCCGCCCGACCTGCCCGAGCCGCTCGAGCCGCCTGAGCCGCTGAGGAGCCGAGCCGCCCGAGCCGCCCGACCCGCCCGAGCCGCCCGAGCCGCCCGAGCCGCCCGAGCCGCCTGAGGAGCCGAGCCGCTGGTGCCGCGGAGCCGCAGTTGCTGCTGAGCCGTCCGAGCAGCCGTGTTGCCGTGTTGCTGTGCTACTGAGCTGCCCGAACCGCCCTGTCTGGTGAGAGCAGCGCTTCTTTCACTGCACTGCCCCTGTCCTACAGTTGGTACTGCTAGTCTACTGTTGTCATGGCTACCCCTAGTGTCCTCGCGTTTGACGCTGAGGGTCGAGCCATTGACTTTGAGGTCTGGGTCGACGACCTGGAGCTGTTCTTATAGTGCGATAGGGCAGACGGTCTCTCTCTCTTTGACCTCACCTCTGGCGCCTCTCCTGCCCCTGCTGCTGATGCTGACCCCACTGTTCGCTCCCAGTGGGCCACGCACGATGCTGCTGCACGTCTTGCTGTGCGTCGCCACCTGCCTACCACTGAGCGCGCGCACTTTCGTCAGTACAAGAGTGCTCAGACCTTGTACGACGCTGTAGTTGCGCGCTACTCTTCCCCTGCCACTGCTGCACTGAGCCGCCTCATGCTACCGTACCTCTTCCCTGACCTTGCAGCCTTTCCCACAGTCGCTGACCTCATTACGCACCTCCGCACTAGTGACACTCGCTACCGCGCCGCGCTTCCTGCTGAGTTCTGCCCCAAGAACCCCCCCCCCATGTACATCACTCTCTATTATATAGTCACCCGCCTCCCTGACTCCCTTCGTGTAGTCAGGGACCACTTCCTCTCAGTCTGTCCCACCACTCTCACTGTTGACCTCTTAGAGAAGGCCCTCCAAGCAGCGGAGAAGAGCATAGTCGCTGTAGGAGCCTCTCGTGGTGACCCTCGCACCCCCATCTTTGAGGGGTGTTCTCCTTCCCCCCATTTGCCCTCTGTTGCCTCTGCCGCTGCGCCCGACCTCGTTGGTCTTGAGTCGGTCGGTGCGGCGTCTGCCCCTAGCGGGAGACGCCGCTCTGGCAATGGCAAGGGGGGCAAGGGCGCGAGTGGAGCTAGCGGGGGCGGTGGAGGTGGCGGTGGAGGCGGCGGAGGGAGTGGGGGTGGCGGTGGGAGTGGTGGCGGGGGTGGAGGTGTCGGTGGCAGCAGTGGAGGCGGAGGCGGCGGAGGCGGCGGCGGTGCTAGCGGAGGCAGCGGTGGTGGCGGAGGTGGAGAAGGCGGTGGTGGAGGAGGTGGCGGTGGTCGGGGTGGCGCTTCGCACAGGAGCAGCCCTGGTGGTGGTCAGCGCCAGTAGCAGCAGCAGCAGCAGCGTTCTCGGGACGTTCCCCCCCCTCAGCAGCTCCGTGAGTGGTACGCGCAGCGTCAGCGTGGTGGGGGTTTTGGTCGGTGCACCTACGTCCTTCGCTCCGGCGACCGCGCGGGTGAGCAGTGTGGGGGTGCCCACCCCACCCAGCGCTGCTTTGGCCGCCTGACGGACGCTTGGCGTCAGCAGTTTCCAGAGGCCAGTGAGATCCCCCGCTGGGGAGAGCTTCCTAGGGCAGGCGTAGCTATCTTTGATCTTGACTTTGATGCTATCCTTGCTGCCATGTATGCTGTGACTATTAGTGATGAGGGTGACTGTTACCGGTGTTTCCCGCCCGACCCGGGCATTGGTACTGCTGCTCTAGGTGCTGGTGAGGCTGCTGCTCTAGGTGCCAGTGCGTCTGCGCCCTCAGGTGCTGGTGAGTCTGCGCTCTCAGGTACCACGTCGGCTTCGGCCTCCCTCACCTTCACACTTGACTCAGGGGCTTCTCGCTCCTTCTTACGAGACCGCACCACACTCACGCCGCTTGGTCGCCCGGTTGCAGTCTCCCTTGCAGACCCCTCTGGGGGTCCTGTCCTCTCTCACTTCTCCACTGTCCTCCCGTGTCCGGCTGCCCCCTCTGGCACCTTGTCTGGTCCTTACCTCCCCTCGTTCTCTACGAACTTGGTGAGTGGTGCTGACCTGCAGGATACGGGGGTTCACCAGTTTACTCTTGCGAGTCAGCGGGTGACCCACTGCTCGGACGCTCGCACAGGCCGGCACCTGGCCACGTTTACGCGTCGGCCGGGGTCGAGCCTCTACACCCTGACCACTGGGTCTCCTCCTGTCCCTGCGTCTAGCCAGGTAGCTGCGTCAGGTCAGGTGTTTTCTACAGCGTCCAGGTCTGGTCCTGAGTCTGCCCCCTGCTCGTGTCGCCTCCTGTCTCACGAGACTCTCCTGTGGCACCACCGTCTTGGTCACCCCTCCCTGCCTCGTCTCCGAGGCATGGCTTCCCGTGTCCTTGTCTCTGGTCTCCCCCGGTCCTTCCATCCCCTTCCTCCAGGGCCTGGTCCTTCCTGTGTTCCCTGTGTTGAGGGGCGGCTCCGGGCTGCCCCTCACTCCTCTCAGTTTCCCCCGACAGAGGCTCCGCTGCAGACGCTTCACATGGACGTGTGGGGCTCGGCTCGCGTCCGTGGACAGGGTCACGAGCGCTACTGCGTGCTGGTGGTTGACGACTACTCGCGTTACACCACAGTCTTCCCCTTGCGCAGCAAGGGTGATGTCACTGAGGTGTTGATCGACTGGATCCGCGTAGCTCGTCTCCAGCTCTGGAGGAGCTTCGGCTCGGACTTTCCTGTTCTGCGTCTGCACTCTGACCGAGGCGGAGAGTTCTCCTCTGGCCTTCTGCGAGCCTACTGCCGTGCGCGAGGCATCCGCTAGACCTTTACGCTTCCGGACTCTCCACAGCAAAATGGGATTGCTGAGCGCCGCATTGGCATGGTCATGGACGTTGCTCGTACGTCCATGATGCATGCGGCTGGCCCTCATTTTCTGTGGCCGTTTGCGGTTCGGTACGCGGCGCATCAGATCAACCTTCACCCCAGGGTCTCCATGCCGGAGACCTCCCCAGCTCTGCTGTGGACGGGGAAGGTAGGCGATGCGTCTGGGTTCCGTGTCTGGGGATCTCGGGCGTTTGTCCGCGACTTGTATGCGGACAAACTGTCCACTCGTGCTGCTCCTTGTGTCTTCCTTGGCTTTCCCCCTGACGCACCAGGGTGGCAGTTCTACCACCCCTCCTCTCGTCGTGTTCTGTCCTCCCAAGACGTCACGTTTGACGAGTCGGTACCCTACTACTGTCTCTTCCCCTACCGCACTCCTTCCCTCCCCCCGCCGCCGCACTTCCTTGTGCCAGGTCCCCCCCATGTAGACCCCCTCCCCCCTCAGGGTCCTGCCCCTTCAGGTGTGTCCCAGGTAGACGCAGTCGAGCCGGTCGAGGTTGCTGGTGACTCTGGTACTGCTACGGGTGCTGAGCCTGGGGGTGCTGACTCTGGGGGTGCTGCGCGAGTGGGTGCTGAGCCTGGGGGTACTGCGCCTGGGGGTGCTACGACTGGGGGTGCTGAGCCTGGGGGTCCTTCGCCTGGGGGTGCTGCGTTTGGAGCTGCTGAGCCTGGGGGTGCTGCGTCTAGAGCTGCTGAGCCTGGGTGTACTGAGTCTGGAGCTGCTGAGCCTGGGGGTGCGAAGCCTGCGGCCGCTGGACCTGCTCATTTGGCGTCTGGCGGTGCTGGGCCTGGTGGTTCTCCGGGTGCTTCGTCTCGGCGGGAGCCACTCTCTCCAGAGGAGCTGCGTGAGTGGTTTGCCCGGCGCTGGAGGCGTACTGCTGGAGCTGGTGCTTCTTCGGCTGCTGAGGGTGCTGGTGCCGCCGGTCTCGGAGGTGCTAGCCGTGGGAGTGCTGGAGCTGCTGGGTCTGCGAGTGCAACTGGAGTCAGAGCTGCTGAGGGTGTTGGCGCTGAGGCTACTGCTGTCGGTCCTAGCGGCGGTCTTGCTGCTGGTGCTGCTGGAGGTACTGGAGCTGGAGGTGCTGTTGGCGCTGGTGCTGCCACTGGGGGTGCCGGTGGTGTCCCTGCTGTGTCTGGAGTCGCCGCGCGGCCTCGGCCGTACTTTGTTCCGCTCCTTCAGCAGGTTCTTAATCTTCCTCCTCCCTTAGAGTGTCCACCGCCCGTCCAGTCACAGTCACAGTTACCGCCGGCCTCCCCACTGCCTGCTCCTTCTCCCTACAGTGTTCCTACTGGAGGTCTTGCTGAGCATCGTGAGCCTGCGTCTCCTGTTCGTGCTGCTCGCGCTAGTGGTCGCGGTTCGCGTCAGCGTCCTCCTCCTGTCCCTGGCACGCACCGGATGTCTCTGCGTCCGTCCACTGCTCCTCTGCGTGCCCCTTTGCCTTCTCCTCCTGAGTCCTCTCTTTCTGCCCTTGCCGACCCGGAGTCGGACTCTCTTCGTGCTACCAGTCCTACTCTCACGCGTCTCCTTGCTACTGTCGTCACTGACCCCTCTTTTGAGTCCACTGCTGCGTCTGCTCTTGTTGCTGAGCTCGTCGACTTTGCTGCTCGCTGTCGTCTAGACTACGCTGCTAGCCTCGTTGCTGAGTCTGCGTCTGTCTGTCCTCCGTCCGTCGGAGGTGAGTGTGCTCTTGAAACGGACGTCCTTGAGGTCAGGCAGGAGGAGTTCCAGTGTCTGGCTGCTGCTTCACCTCATCTCGTGTCCGTACTGCTTACCCCTGAGGGAGACCCAGATGCACTTGACATCTCGACTCCGCGCTCTTACGCGGAGGCCGTAGAGGGTCCCTACTACTCTCAGTGGCAGGCAGCTATGGATGCAGAGATGGCTTCCTGGAAGTCCACACGCACCTACGTTGACGCGGTTCCCCCACCTGGGGCAAACATCGTCAGTGGCATGTGGATCTTCAGGGTGAAGCGGCCGCCGGGCTCTCCGCCTGTATTCAAGGCGCGGTACGTGGCTCGTGGCTTCAGTCACCGGCAGGGAGTTAACTACTTTCCGACCTTCTCTCCCACCCCGAAGATGACCACTCTTCGGGTGCTGCTACACGTAGCAGCTCAGCGTGACTACGAGCTTCACTCCCTTGACTTCAGCACTGCTTTCCTGCAGGGTAGCCTACACGAGGAGATCTGGCTGCGCCGTCCACCTGGCTTCACTGGGACTTTCCCTCCTGGCACCCAGTGGAGCCTCCGACGGCCAGTCTACGGTCTCCGCCAGGCTCCGCGTGAGTGGTACGTCACAGTGAGGACTACGCTTGCGGCTCTTGGGTTTGCTCCCTCTACTGCTGACCCGTCGCTGTTTCTACGCACCGACACCTCTTTGCCGCCGTTCTACATCCTCGTGTACGTCGACGACTTGGTCTTTGCCACAGCTGACACTGCTTGACTTGCCCTTGTGAAGTCCGAGCTGCAGAAGAGACACACGTGCACAGACCTGGGTGAACTGCGCAGCTACCTTGGCTTGCAGATCACCCGGGACAGAGCACACCGCACCATTACCCTGACTCAGTCACACATGGTGCAGCAGGTCCTTCAGCGCTTCGGCTTCACGTACTCCTCGCCTCATGCCACTCCTCTGCCTACTCGCCACTCGCTCTCAGCTCTACCTTCGGATGAGTCCGTAGAGTCGAGTGGCCCGTACCCAGAGCTTGTTGGCTGCCTCATGTACCTGATGACCTGCACACGACCTGACCTTGCATACCCTCTTAGCATTCTTGCACGCTATGTTGCTCCTGGGAGACACAGACCAGAGCACATGGCTGCAGCGAAGAGGGTGTTGCGCTACTTGTGCAGTACGTCTCGCATGGGGCTAGTGCTTGGAGGGCAGAGTCCAGTGGTCCTCACTGGGCACGCGGACGCTTCTTGGGCTGACGACCAGGCTACGCAGCGGTCGTCACAGGGTTACACCTTCAGCCTTGGTTCCGGCTCTGTTTCTTGGCGGGCTACTCGCTCGTCTTCCGTTCTCGGCTCCAGTTGTGAGGCTGAGATCTACGCCGGGGTCATGGCTGCACAGGAGCTTCGGTGGCTCACCTACCTGCTGACCGACCTTGGAGAGCCGCCTCGTTCTCCTCCAGTGCTGTACGTAGACAACAAGGCCATGCTGGCCTTGTGTCGAGAGCAGAGACTGGAGCATAGAACAAAGCACATTGCTTTTCGCTACTTCCTTGCTCGTGAGCTACAGCAGCGTGGTCAGTTGCGGCTTGCGTACGTGGCCTCTGAGGCCAACACTGCTGATGTTTTCACCAAGGCACTTGCGTCTTGTGATCATCAGCGCTTCTGTACTCAGCTTGGTCTGTGCCTGTCTTGCCTCACTTGCTCACTTCTTGACCTTGCTTGTACTGTCACATATATATACACCTGCTCTTGTTTGCTTAGCCTCTTATATATATATATGTGCTCCTGCATGTGAACTGGCCTTCTGGCCTTGAACTTGTGCTCGGAATGTGTGGTGACTTTGTGATCCACCCTGAGCTTTGCTTTGCTTTGCTTGACTGGTCTTGTGACCCCTTGTTCTCCCCCACTTTGCCTATGGGGGTGTGTCAAATTTTAATGTTGTCTAGCCTTTAGTGGGGTAGCCCATATGGGGTACACATTTCTAGGGTTGCATATTTGTATCACTTTCATTCCATAGTCATTCCATTCTCGTTCTAATTTCCTCAGTAGCTCGACGAAAATTTCTGCATCAACAGGTGCGTAGAGAAACGCGTTCGCGACGTCAATTTGTCGCAGCTTCTTCTTCTTCATGGCGGCGATTGCGAGGAGAATGCGTAGTGAGGTGTGGCGGCTAACCGGAGCGAAAGTTTCGTTGAAGTCTCGTCCGTGTTCTTGGTCGAAGCCGCGTACAACCCAGCGAGCTTTAAAATTGTCAATGGTGCCGTCAGCCTTTGTCTTCACACGGAAGACCCACTTTCCGGTGAGTATTGTCTTGTTCCGTGCCACACCGATAGGAACCACTTTCCACGTGTTGCGTTCCTCCAGTGCCTTCAGCTCCTTGTCCATGGCTTCGCGCCATTTTTCCTTATGCTCCCCCCCCAGAGCTTGTTGAACTGTCGCAGGCTCTTTAGGAATGGCGGTGCCGTGGACTGCGGTGACGAGTCCGAGAATTTGCAGTCCACTCTGTGAGTAGCGGGGAAGATTTGCGTCCTCGGGATAAGCTGCTTCATTTCCCGCTTCTGGATCAGGTATGAAGTTCGGTCCTACTCGTTCTGCTTCGTTGGTGTTGACTGTCGCAGGTGTTACGTAACCATTGTCGGTGAAATAGTAGAAGGTTTCGGCGTTGACACTTTTGCGAGGGTTATCTTCGTCTATGGGAACGTCGACGGAGCAGAACGGAAGAGGTCCGGCTTCTTCTGATGCGTTGTCCACATTCTGCTCGTCCCAGTCAGCTTCGTCCGCTGCTGAGGCGAAGGCTCAGTCACCGCGAAAACCACCTGTGGGATCCTGGTCTTCTTGCAGGTTGGCAAGGTATGTCTGGAGCGTGAGTCGTTCGTAGAAAATTACATCACATGCTGCTACTGTTTCCTTGGAATGGACGTCGAAGATTTTCCACGCGTTGTAGTTCTTTTCGATTCCCAGGTGTAGTCCCCACTGTGCTCGTTGAGAAAATCGGCCCGCTCGTGCTGTTGGGGGTCGGTACTGTACCATGCATCCGAATACTCGTAACATTTTTGTGCTGCCCTGTTTCCCTGTCCATAGCAGATGCGGTGATGCGTTGTTTAGAAGCGATGATGACGAGAGCAAGTTGTGCAGCATGACGGCGTGGTCCATTGCCGCAGGCCACTGGTAGTTGGGTAGCCGCATGCCACGTAACAGTTTGCGCATGCTATTCTGCAAGGTCCTGTTCATTCTTTCTGCTACACCTTGCTGCTGATGGGCGTAGGGAAGGGAGATGAGCCGCTTGATTCCCCTTTCCGCCAGGTAGTGCTTGAATCGTTGAGAGGTGTATTCTCCTCCTCCGTCTGACTGGAAGCTTTTCAGTTTCATGCCCGATTCGCTCTCTTCTACTGGTAGCCAGGCAACGAAGGCTTCGAATGCCATGTCGCGGCTTTGGAGGTTTAGGTGCCAGACGTAACGGGTGGCGGCGTCGATGAAGGTGATTGTATAATTGTATATTACTTGTCCTGGTTCCCGATTGAACAGGATGTCGCTATACACCTTCTCGAGTGGTGCGTATGCGGGTGCGCTCGGGTTGTGATGAGACGCAAACGGTCGATGTGGTAAGTCACCTTCAGGGCAGGTGAAGCACGTTCCGCGTACTCGTTGAAGTTCTCGTCCGTCGGTCAGTAGGAGTGAGTCCTTGTCGAGTACTCCTGCTCTTATCGTATTGTTTAATACTGTGTTGCTTGGGTGTCCCATCCTTGCGTGCCAGGTGCTTTCGTCGGCGCGATGTCCGGGTGATCGTCGGTACATATCAGAGTTGGAGTAGAAGTTGGCGTTGAAGTTGGCGCTACGATGAACTTCTCGTGGTGCTGGGTGTAGTTGAAGCGCGGGTGTCGGTGGTGTGTCGTCGATGAGGAGCGGTGTCGTTGAAGGACCAACAATTGGTGTTGACGTTCCTGCTGCTGCCGTTGATGGTTCTGCTACTGCCGATGTTGTCTCTGCTGCTGCCGATGTTGTCTCTGCTGCTGCCGGTGTTGTCCCTGCTGCTGCTGATGTTGTCTCTGCTGCTGCTGATGTTGTCTCTGCTGCTGCTGATGCTGTCTCTTCTGCTGCTTATGTTGTCTGAATTGTTGCTAACGCCCTTGTTCTTTCTGCTTCGGGGATGGTGTGTGAATACCAGAAGCCTTCTGGACTGAAGTCTGGATCAAGGTCTGGAGGGTGTGTCCAGTTGGTGAAGTTAACAATGGCTTCGCTGTCGGCGGTGCCAAGATCAGGGACGAAGTCAAGAACGAAGACGTTGTTCTTGAGGACCGCCTTGCCGATGTAGAGTCCTCCTCTCCCGTGATACAGCTTGAATTCTTGAGTGGTGCTGTCTGCTTCGAGGTGAATCCCTTTCGTTATTAGCTGACTGACGCTCAGTAAGTTGTAGTCGAGTCCCTCCGCGAATAGTACTTTTGACATCTGCAGTATAACGTTTGTTTCCCTTGACTGAAGTTGAACTACGCCTTGTCGTCGTGTTCGCAGGTTTTGATTGTTGGTGACTGTAATGACAACTTCGCGTTGAAGTTGGTATTCTCGTTGAACGAAGCGTCCCGAGGAGCACATGTGTTGTCCGCAGCAACTGTCCAAGAACCATGTGTCCTTTCCGGATGGTTCGCTTTGGGCGATGGCGGCGTATGTCGGGTTCGGCTGAAGTGACTCGCGGCGGGGTGTGGTTTCGTCGAGTTGTTCTTCCGGTGAGTAGTGTGGTGGTGACTCGGTGATGCAGGAGTCACCCAGCTTTGCCATGCAGCTGACGATGTTTCTTGCTCCTTGTGCAGGTTGTTCTGTTGAGGTCGTTGAGGCTTGAATCTGAGTCGTGGGATTTGCTTGCGTTGAGGCGATTTGGCTGCTTGAAGGTCGAAGTTGCCGCTGTGGAGTTGTTGACTGTTGACGATTCATGCAGTGCGTACGCGGGTGTCCTGAAGTTTTGCAGATGTGGCATAACGGAGGTACTGGCTTCGGTTGTTGCTGCCGGTTGTTGTGGTTGTTGTAGCGTCGCTGAGTGTGGAACGCGAATTCCGGTGCTGATGTCTTCTTTTTGTGTCCTTCTTGCAGGTCCATGTCTTGCTGCTCGGCGTGGATTTCGGCGCAGAGCGCTGCTTCAGAGATTCTTCCGTAAGCTCGGAGAATGGCCTTTGTGGCGCGCCATTGAGGACCGAGGCCGCCGATGATGACTGTCACGAAGGCGTCTTCAGAAATCGACCCTCCGCATCGAAGAAGCTTGTCGCGCAACCGACATCGACTGATATACGCCATTCCTTTCTCCCCTGGTTTCATTTCAACTGTTGTCAGTTGCGCCATTAACCGACTTTGGTTTACGCTGTCTGTTGCTTGATACGGGCTCTTCAAGTGGTTGTACGCGAGCTCCGCGGAGTTGCCGTAACCTCGGTAAGACCTTATGTTCTGCTGTTGAGTCGGGGTGATATTCCTCAGTAGGATCGTGTACGCCATCATTGACTGATAGGTGTACTGCTGCTTCTCGTACTGTGTGCCGTTTGTTGGGTATGGCAGAGACCAGTCGAAGAACCCGAGTATCTGCCCGCCTTCCATCATCAGCTCGAACTCGAACGACCAGGTGAAGAAGTCCTTTCCATCGAAGGGTCTTGACGTCTGCATCTTCAGAACGTGTGCGAACTGCGACTGAACTTGTAATGCGTCCAGTGATTTTTCTTGTCCAGGTGAAGGCTGTGGGTGTGGCATAAAGCTGATGGACCCGCGCTCGTACGGAGCAAAGGTAGGCTGCTGTTGTTGATTTCCTTGTGCATATGATGAGCCATCGAGACTCATGGGTGTTGCTCCGTTGTTGTTGCTGTTGTGTGACTGCGCAGGTGCCGATTGCTGGTGTTGCTCGTAGAGGGACATGAAGGAGAAAAACTTCTCCATCATGCTCTGGTCGAAGTCTGCAGGTTGATTCGCGGGAGTCTCGGTAGATGTTGCTCTGGGTCTTGTTGCCGTGCCCTCCTCTGTCTGTAGGCCAGAGGCAGGAGGTGGAGTAGGAGTAGTGCCCTGGGAGTCGTTGGAGTTGCTCCTTTCCTTTTGTGTAGCCATGCTGATTGATATTGTCGGTATAGAAGTTGAATCCCCCCCGATTGCTCTCATACCATGTTGGGCTGAAAAAACCTTAGGATCTTTGCAAGGGTGAACTCTGGGTAGAGTTGGTGTAGTAGCGGAAGCGTTAATCAAAGGGTTGTGAACCACCTTGCGCTAGTTTGTGATGGCAAAGTAAGTTGATTAAAGCAAAGAGATACAAAATTATATATGAATACTGGGAATATGAAAAGACACAGTTATAACTACTTTACTGTTGCTGTTGCGGTTCGATACAGTGACGACTCGGGCAACTGCTCTGTAGCGAGTCAGTTGTGTGTCCTTGCTGTCGTGCTGTACTTGTCAGGTCAAAGGTCGCTGACCTTTGACTTTCGCGTAACCTCTAGCAACCGCTCAACCTCCGAGGGTTGACTCGCCGGTGCTTCGATATACTTCGCTTCGCTTCTGACTTGGTGTTTCGACACGACAGAGGCGCTTAGGACCGATTGTTTCCAACAGATATCTCGGGAGTATGCTCTCTGGTGTGTCAATTGCAACGAGTGCAGAAGCCTTCCAGCAAGCCCCCTGCATGTGGTTGAATGTATCAGTTGCCAGGTCATCCCCGCAGCAGCCAGGTATTGTGACAGTCAGCCAAGCTATCAGTGCACTTCATATTACTATGGTAAGCAGCAACCACTACAGTAGACACTGCTGTGACATGAATGTACCGCAAATCACTCATTATTGCAGAAGAATCAGAGCATCGTCGCTTACAGCAGCAGCAGCATGAATAAGAATGCTGCGCTACACTCCGTTTGTACACCTGCCCCACCTAGGTGCAGTTCCAACAGTACCACTCAAGAAACAGATGAGGTGCTAGCAGACAAATCTTGCATCACACCGCCTATTTTCAAGCAAATTTCGTAAGCGGCCTGTTTTCCACCACACCGCATCACACCCCAGCAAACCCAAACACACCCCGCTCCACCTCACACGCCTCCCAGCGCAGCAGCCCTCTCTTCCGCAACCCCCCTTTCCGCAGCGATTCTCTCCTCCGACGCCTTCCCTCCCCCCAGGTGCAGCAGCGAGGACACGTGTGCAACGGAGGGGAAGCGTGTGAGCCCGTCCACTTTGCTGGCGCTGTCTGCCTGCCCCACCAGGTGGTCCCAGCGGCCGAGGAGGAGGAAGGCAAAGAGCATCAGCGATGTCGTCACGCCCAGAGCGATCTTGTACCCCTGGGTGGTTGCCAGGGGGCAGGGGAAAGGAAGGGGGAGAGTGGGGGGGAAAGGGAGGGGGAGAGTGGGGGGGAAAGGGAGGGGGAGAGTGGGGGGGAAAGGGAGGGGGAGAGTGGGGGGGAAAAGGAGGGGGAGAGTGGGGGGGAAAGGGAGGGGGAGAGTGGGGGGGAAAGGGAGGGGGAGAGTGGGGGGGAAAGGGAGGGGGAGAGTGGGGGGGAAAGGGAGGGGGAGAGTGGGGGGGAAAGGGAGGGGGAGAGTGGGGGGGGGAAGGGAGGGGGAGAGGGTGTGGGGGGTGAGACAGGGAGCAGGGATGGCAGGAGGAATCCTTTTATTAAAAGGCTCCCCCGTCCCCCCAGGTGCAGCAGCGAGGACACGTGGGTGACGGAGGGGAAGAGCGTGAGCCCGTCAGATGGTCCCATCGACCCAGCAGCAGAAAGGCTAAGAGCAGCAGTGATGTGGTCACGCTATAGCAATCTTGTATCCCTGCCTGCCTGCCTGCTTGGCTGCCTGCTTGGCTGCCCGCCCGCCCGCCCGCCCGCCCGCCCGCCCGCCCGCCCGCCCGCCCGCCCGCCCGCCCGCCCGCCTGCCTGCCTGCCTGGCTGCGCAATCTTGTATCCACCACGCCACACACACCTGCATGTCCTGGTCCGCCTCGTGCTCGTTAAAACCGGAGTCCCAAACAGCCCGAAAGTGCCTCAACCTTCCTAACTTTGAGAAGGGGTGACCCAGTAGGTACGACTCACTTCGCAAATCGGGGGGACAATTTTCGTCACGCGAAAAAAATGTTCTAGCGAGGACGAAAGCAGTGACGATTTCGCCAACAAATTTGAAGCCCGTCCGAAACTGTCTGCGAACCAGTTCTGACGTTGCATTCCAGATCTGGTTATTTTCACGAAAATTTCTTCCTTTGCGACCCCGGACCACCAATTTCGACACCACCCTGCCTCGCGAGCCAGTCACCTTTCTCTCCCCTTTCAACCTTCCTAACTTAGAAACTCTTGGACCTCCGGTTTTAAGGCCAGGCCGCTTTTGAGCGCGACCAGGACTCAAAACCCACGACCAGCGCTGATCAGGCACACGCATGCACACACACCTGCACGTCCTGGTCCGTCTCGTGCTCGTAGAGGCCGAGGCCAAGAAAGAGCACGTACCACCCCATGCCCACCGCCAGAATGCCCAGCAGCCAGTGCGCGAAGTACCATGCCACACGTATCTAAAGGGGAATGGTTGGTCAGACAAGGGGAAGGGGAGGGGAGTGGGGGATTGTGAAATGGCTTGTCGAGGCCCAGGGCCGAGGAAGAGCACGTACCACCCCATGCCCACCCCCAGTATGCCCAGCAGCCAGTGCGTGAAATACCACGCCACACGTATCTGCGCGGGGGATGGTTGGGGGGACGGAAGGGGGTGAGGGGGGGGAGGTGGGGGGGATGGGGGTTTGGGGGGTCATGAAATGGCGAGCAGGGGATGCCCAGCAGCCACTGTGTGAAATACCACGCCACGTATCTGCGCGGGGAATGGTTGGGGGGACGGGAGGAGGGGTGTGGGGAGGGGGATTATGAGATGGGCGCATGGTTGGGCGAATGGTTGGGGAACCGGGGGGCGAGGGGGAAGGGAGCATGAGGTGGCGCGCAGGGGAGGGGTGCGCAGCAGCCAGTGCGCCAAGTACCGCGCGCACATGCATATGTGGGGAGAATGACGGCGCATGGGCGAGACATGATGGGGGCGGAAGAGTTGGGGGCGGAGGAAATGGGGGCATAGTGACGGAACATGGAGTGGAGGCACGAAGGGCGACATCAGAGGCCGAAAAACAAAAATCCCACCCACCATCTATTCCCGTTGGGCGGGATGGGGTAGACAGACACGAGTGCGTCATAACGCGCGCACCTTATTCCCCTTGTGCCGGCGGCACGCACGAAGCCCAGCCATGCAGACTGGGCAAGGTGAAGCCACGAGAAACATACATCATGAGCTGATGATGTACGATGCATCACGAGAAACGCACTACCAGCAGAGGATAGGCAGGGCAGATAGCACACTGCCAGTATGTCGCAACGAGAGCGCAGCGCACCTTGTTCCCCTTGTGCGGGCGAATGACCCCCAGCAGTGGCTGCGCGAGGGTGAAGGTGAAGACCGCGATGCCCATGCGCGCATGGCGCGACTCCGTGGCGGCCTCCGCGCCGAACTTCCCCACGCCGATGAAGAACCCGATTATCGCGAGCATCACCGCCAGCAGCTGCGATAAATAAATCAAGAGGAGGGGTGTGAGATGGAGGAGGAGCGTGAAAAAGTGAGTGGAGTGAAGGGTCACGAGTCGTACTCCGCGCCCAACTTCCCCACGCCGATAAAGAACCCGATTATCGCGAGCATCACCGCCAGCAGCTGCGGGGGAGATGCGGAGGGGATGGGGATGCGGGGGAAGGGGGGAAGGGGGGAAGGGGGGAAGGGGGGAAGGGTGGAGGGTGAATTGACTCAAGGGACACGAGGCATCCTTGCGACCAAACTTCCCCACGAGTACCCGATTATCGCGAGCATCACCGTCAGCAGCTGCGGAAAATCGGGGGGGATGGGAGGGGGAGACAAGAGGGGAAGGTGAGAAAGCGAGCGGAGTGAAGAGCACGGGGCGTCCTTTCGACTGAACTTCCCCACGGCGATAAGGAACCGGATTATCGCGAGCATCACCAACAGAAGCAGGTTTTGAGTCGACCCAAAAACAGTAAGTGCGAGGGAGCGAGGGAGGTGCGAGGGAGCGAGGGAGGTGCGATGGAGCGAGGAGGCGAAGGAGCGCACCTGAATGCCCCAGTGAATGGCGAACCACTTGGGCGTGACGGTCTGCAGATGACGTTTTGAGACGTCTCTCAAAACAAGAACCGAGGGAGCGAGGGAGCGAGAGTGACAGCGGGGGAGCGGGAGGTAAAAGGAGCGCACCTGAATGCCCCAGTGAATGGCGAACCACTTGGGCGTGACGGTCTGCAGATGACGCGCCGTGATGAGCCCCACGGGCATCAGCAGCCCGTACGCCAGCCACAGCAGCCACCCGTGCACCTGGGGATTGCCGCGCAGGGCGAGAATGAAATGGCGGGGGGGAGGAGGGCGGAGAAAGGTGGGAAGAGGAAGATGGAGGAGAGGGGTTGGGGGGGGGAATGAGCAGCCCGTACGCCAGCCGCAGCATCCACCCGTGCACCTGGGGATTGCCGCGCCGCGGGGAGAATGAACTGGGGGAGGCGTGAGATAGATGGGAGAGGACACTGATTGAAAACCTCAGGAATCGCTCGGAAGGTAGGGAATGAAAAGCAAGTATGCGAGCCGCAGCAGCCAACCGTGCACCTAGGGATTGCCGGGCCGGGGAGCAGGTCAGACGGCCGAGGAAGGGGGGAAAATAGGGAGAGAGGGAAGTGAGAAGGAGAGGGAGAGATGGTGACAGGGAGAAAGGGAGAGAGAGAGAGGGAGCGAGAGAGGGAGAGAGAGAGGGAGGGAGAGAGGGAGAGAGAGAGGGAGGGAGAGAGGGAGAGAGAGAGGGAGGGAGGGGTAAAAGGGGAGGGGGGGAGAGGAAAGAGGGAGGAGACGAATGGGAGAGGGAGAGGGAGAGGGAGAGGGAGAGGGAGAGAAGAAAGAAACGGATAGAAGAAAGCAAAAAGACGGAAGCGCATAGTTTCAGCGACCGTCTAGAGGAAAGTCGTTCACAACTTTCTCTGAGCATTCTCGCAAACCAGCTTGTCTCACAATTCCAACGACTGTTTGGAAGGTCGTTCGTGAGTTTCTTTTCATCCTGGCTGCGTGTGGCCTCCTATCCCATCTCCGCATTTTCTAGTTCGCCAGTATTTATGGAACGCGCCGGAAATATTCATTTTTATTGTTAGAGGAACACCGCCTGACATTCTCAGACAACTTCAGAACCATTTTTACGGCAGCGCACCTGAAACAGAGCGGGATCAACGCTCTCCTCCTCTCCCTCCGGCTCCGCAGAAGGCGGAGGAGCTGACGTGGAGTTTGAGGGCGACGAGTCACCAGCGGAGGCTCCGAGACAGAAGAGGGCGAGGCAGGCAACCAGCATTACTACAGAGATTAATATCCACCGAGAACTGCGAGCCATGTCGCGCACTTATGGATACGGGACGGGAATCAGTATGGTTTTCGACGGTCGGACTTGAGTGATTGGGTACCCCTGGCTGGCCGGCGTTCACCGAAGCAAGAAGCGAAGTCGTGAAGATCGCCAGATTAAAAAAAAAAAAAAAAGCGACGGGATCGTGCGTTACGCAACGTTCGCGAAGAGCGCCTTGGAAAGGCGGCGAGCGAGGCGAGGCAACTATTTGTTTACGCTCATTGGTAGCCAAACAACAGATGGGCTTACGAGGCAAGGAAGGAACGAAGAAGAATGAAAAAGGCAAAACCGCGAGCAGGAGTATCAGCTCAACATACAGCGAGCAGACTCCCTCAATTTGCTCAGAAGTAGTTTGACGTTGCACTGACACCAAGAATCATTCCCGCCACCGACCAGATTTCAACAAATCAAAGAAAGCCATGTAGGATGGATTCTGACCATTTGCAACCTTTTGAACAAGAGGGAAGCCCTCCAGGTGCATGTCGTAGATTTTTCTTGGAGATCGACGGCGCAGATTTGGCGGTGACAATATCTGTCAGTCCAGCTAAGAATCGCCACGAGCTGGTCTGCCTTTTCTTGTAATGGAATGGACTCGGGGAGGTGTGCTGACGTAAAAGGCACGGACATTCGCCGTTGGATGGGGAAAAAGGCAAATCTGGTTTGAAGGCCCTAATCAGTGGTGATTATGGTTACTCATGAAGAGAGGCCTCGATTTTAGCTTTGGCGGTGACACAGCTCACAAGTGGAGCCTACTGGCGTACTATGTGTTCAGACAAAGGTACTTGACTGTTCCTGGACTCTACCCATTTTGCCAAAATGGCCCCCTATTTTTGCATTACTCCAACACTTCCAAATCAGGTCTACGGCTTTACGCGACCTCCCTGAAGGAGGTTCACATGTCCTGGCCAGAGGCTTCACCTAGCATTAGCGTCAACTGCTATCGAGGACAAAAAAAATCGGACGGGGGAAAGCAAACAAGTGAAAACAGGAAAAATAATTGCATTCCAGGACAGCTCCCTATTAACCTGCTGGATTTCCCCTCACAACGACGCTGTGCGAGTAAGCTCTCTTTCTGCAGACCGCTGCCTCTGCTGGTACTTCTTTAAGTGCCACCGCACCGACGCTTTCTCGGCAACAGCAACCATGGCTGCACTCACATGCATCGATGCCGTCACTGCCACCGCTCTCAGCTTCCCCAGCGACCGAATCTGCTGCTGCTGTTGCTGTTGTTGCTGCTGCTGCTGGTGGTGCTGGGTGCTGTGAGTCATACTCCGGAAGCTCTTCAGCCCGGCAACACCGGCTTGCGTCTGTGAGTGGACCATGGCCGTGCGTGGGCGGGGAGGGGATTGTGAGCAGAGGTCCACAGCAGATGCCGAGCTAATCCGCATTGACTGCTGCTGCTCTTCCTCTCCTTCCTCTTCTTCCTGGACCGGGGATGTGCCAGGGGAACCGGTCGGAGATGTATTAAAGGAGGAGGAGCAGAGCACAGTCGCATTGGGCGCCAGTACAACCACAGACGTGCTTTCGTCGTACGAGCGCGAGGGAGCGAGGGCTGTGCCGTTGGGAGGGAGGCGATGGAAGTGACTATTGCTAGTAGTGCGGGTAAACGAGTTGTTACCACTCGTGCTGCTGCTGCTACTGCTACTGTTGCCCTTGCTCATACCCTTGCTGGTACCTGTGCTGGTACCTTTGCCGTCTCCCGCTTCCTCACCACCACCACTGCCGCTCACCTCCCTGCTTCCCCCACCATCAGTACCATTCACACCGTTCGTTTCAGCAGCAGCAGCAGCAGCAGAATCACCACCACCATTCGCAGCAGCAGCAGCGGCAGTTTCAGCGGCAGCAGCGGCGGCGGCAGCGGTGGCAGCACGGGTGGAGGTGTAGGAGGCGACGCGCTGCTGGCGGAGCTCCAGGGCTGCGATCACCGTCACCTTCTGCCGCCGCCGCTGCTTCGCTATCGTCGCCATCGACATGCTTCCCAGCCGGTCAAACGCCACCTGGTGGGGGGAAAGAGGGGCCGAGTGGGAGGGGCGATGCAATCGAGGAGGCGAGCTAAGAGTAGGGCGGTGTGATGATCTGCAGCCACCGCTGATTGGCTATCGTGGCCATCAGCATGCTTCCCAACCGGTCAAACGCCACCTGGTGGGGCCAGGGGGGCGGAGAGGGAGGGGAGAGGGAGGGAAGAGGGAGAGGAGAGGGAGGCAAGCTGGAGGCACAGACACAGGCACAGGCACAGGCACACACGCAAACATACAAACACAGGCATGCACTGACCTGCAGCAGCACCTTGGGGTCGTACTGCTGCGCTGTGGATCGCAGCAGCAGCTCCAGCTGTTGAAGATACACATGGTTGCACACATGATGACAAGGCCGTGGTGCAGCACAGGACCACACAAGGCAGGCAGGCCCACGGTGGCTCTTTCACGGTCTCTCACCTGCAGCAGCACCTCGGGGTCGTACTGCTGCGCTGTGGACCGCACCAGCACCTCCACCGCCTCCCCCACATGCGCCGCCTGGTATAGCTCCGCCTCGTTCATCTGCCATGCATGGGTAGGGAGGGGCGGAGGTGCAGAGCGGATGGGGACGGGGGAGAGTACAGGGGAAGGGAAAGTAGGATGAGTAAGTAGAGGAAAGCTACCACATCCACCGCCTCCCCCACATGCGCTGCCTGGTATAGCTCCGCCTCGTTCATCTGCCATGCACAACCGCCATGCAGGTTTGGGGGGGGGAGAAGAGAGAGTGCGGAGGAAAGTGAGACGACAAGGGGGGAATGAGTTTGGATCGGACAATGGATAAAGCACAAAGAGTTTGGCAGCAATGCAGGCAGCAAGGCAGGGCGGCGACGCAATACAATGCAATGCAAACAGTGTGGGCGACGCCCAGGCAGGCAGGCAGGTGTGGCAGGCAGGTGCGTGTGGCAGGCAGGTGCGTGTGGCAGGCAGGTGCGTGTGGTAGGCAGGTGCGTGTGGCAGGCAGGTGCGTGTGGCAGGCAGGTGCGTGTGGCAGGCAGGTGCGTGTGGCAGGCAGGTGCGTGTGGCAGGCAGGTGCGTGTGGCAGGCAGGTGCGTGTGGCAGGCAGGTGCGTGTGGCAGGCAGGTGCGTGTGGCAGGCAGGTGCGTGTGGCAGGCAGGTGCGTGTGGCAGGCAGGTGCGTGTGGCAGGCAGGTGCAGCAGAGCGGCGGACCTTGAAGAGTGCGAGTGCGACACGGAAGAGCACCTTGGCACCCTCGTTGAATAACACGTCCCACACGCGCAGAGTAGTCTGGTGGCGCGGCGCGGCGCACGCAAGGGGGGACGGGGGAGGCATGGTGAGTGAGAAGGAAGGTGAGAGAAGAGCACAGCACGCTCCACGCAGACGAGCACCTTGGTTGGCACCCTCGTTGAACAGCACGTCCCGTCCCACACGCGCAGCATCGTCTGGTGAGTGGGTGGGTGGGTGGGTGGGTGAGTGGGTGGGTGGTGCACACAGGGGGATCGGAAAAGGTGGGTTGGGGGCAGAGTAAAATCTGAAACGCCTCAATATCGCCCCTTGTTGAACAGCGCGTCTAAAACACACGCAGCTTAGTGTGGTACACATGGGGAAGGGGGGAGAGATGGTGGAGATGTGATGGGGATGCGATGGGGGATGGATGGTGGGGGAATGATGGGAAAGGGTGAGAGGGGAAAGGGCACAAGAGGCAGGTGGGGGCGGATGGTGAGGGAGAGGATGAGGAAGCAAAGATAGATAGGGGTGGGTGGTTGGAAGAGGGGGAGTGGAGGAGAGAAGCAAGACAGGTCCGGAGGCACAGCCGCACAGCATTGTGCAGAGGATGAGGTTGGGAAGAAGGAGGTAGGATTGGAAAAAGAGCTAGCGAGAGATCGAACAAGGTTGGTAGAGAGGGAGAGAGAGCATTTGAGAGAAAGAGGCAGCAGGGCATCGCAGGTACCTCGGAGGGGAAGCTCTTGGCAAAGTCACAGAGGAACCACTCACTCAGTGGTGACGAGGAAGAGAGAGACTGAGGGGGCGAGAGAGGGTTCAGAAGCCCAGGCGAGGAGGTGAGAGCGAGGGAGCACAAGGAAGGGAGTGACTGAGGAATAAGATTGCATGGAACACACCTCGGAGGGGAAGCTCTTGGCAAAGACACAGAGAAACCACTCGGTGGTGACGAGCGACGGCTCAAACTGAATGGCGTCCAGATGCGCTGCCAGCCTGCCGTACAGGTCGATTCACACGTAGAGAGGGTGGCTTTGAGAAGTCCCAAAAACATCAAACTGAATGGCGTCCAGAGAGGGTGGCTTTGAGAAGTCTCAAAAACATCAAACTGAATGGCGTCCAGAGGCCCTGCCAGCCTGCCGTACAGGTCGACCGTAGATTCACACGAACGGGGTTTACACAGATACAAGGTCATGCGATTTCGTGAGCAAGAATCCTTCAAGCATCGCGACTGGCCTACCCTGCCCGCCCTGCCCGCCTGCTCTCATGTGCAAGGTTGAGGAAGGGGGAAGGCACTCAAGGACCCTGCCTGCCTGCTCTCGTGTGCCTCATAGTAGTCCTTTCCCCTTCCTCAACCTTCCCCCACCATCCCCTCACCTCTTCCTCCCCCAAACCCTCCCTCTGTTCTCACTTGGGCTGCTTGCGGTGCAACAGATCCTTGAGCACGCGCTGCTCCACTCTCCACGCCAAAGAGGTCCTCAGCCGTCCTCCTAGCACTCCCTCCCCACACAACACACAACCATCCCCCGTACCCCGCTCTTCAACCCCCCCCTCTCCCCACCACACAGAGCACTCACTTGGGATGCTTGCGGTGCAGCAGGTCTTTGAGCACGCACTGCTCCACGTGCACGCCAAAGGGGACTCCTCCCGTGCTCATTCCACACCCTTGTCTCTCTTTCGCACTCGCCCCCCAACCTTCTCCCTCTCCCAAACCTCACTTGGGCTGCTTGCGGTGCAGCAGGTCTTTGAGCACGCGCTGCTCCACGTGCACGCCAAAGAGGTCCTCGGCGAAGCAGTCGTCGTACAGCACGTTCTCCACCAGCGTCGCCAGCATCCAGAACGCGTCCTCCTCGCTGCGCATCACCAGCAGCAGGTATGCTGCAACATAGTTCATGCCCTGGTGGGACATGGGGCGAGGGGGGTGGGGGGGTGTGTTGGGGGAGAAGGAGAAGCTGAGAGGACGAGAGGTGCATGTGCGTCACCAGCAGAAGCAGCAGCAGCAGAAGCAGAAGCAGCAGCAGCAGCAGCAGCAGCAGCAGGAGCAGGAGCAGGAGCAGGAGCAACAGCAGCAGGAGGTACGCCGCGTCATAGTTCATGCCCTGGAGGGTCAACAAAGTGTTGGGGAAACTTTAAGTGAACCTGTGACTGATTTTTCCGATTAACCGGTGAGCCCATGCATGCTTCTTTAAGTGCTCGAGAGCAGTGACTAGGGTGTGAGGCAGTGAGCACCCAACCCAAGGCAGTGAGTACCAGGGAGGCAGGTTGTACCTGGGAGGCAGGTTGTACCTGGGAGGCAGGTTGTACCTGGGAGGCAGGTTGTACCTGGGAGGCAGGTTGTACTTGGGAGGCAGGTTGTACCTGGGAGGCAGGTTGTACCTGGGAGGCAAGTGGCAGGTTGTACCTGGCAGTACCCCACGTGGGTGTCTCTGAAGGAGTAGGCCACGAGCACTCGGCGCAGCGCTGCCAGCCCCTCTGCTGTGTCCATGCGCGGATGCCCTGGGAACGTGCGGTGCAGGTCCTGCTCTTGCACATGCACGCACATGCACACACGCACAGGCAGACAGACAGTCAGACAGACAGACAGACAGACGGACGGACGGACGGACGGACGGACGGACGGACGGACGGACGGACAGACAGACAGACAGACAGACAGACACAGCGATGTGCGCATGCGCGCACACACAGACCAGGAAGTCAATCAAGAGCGTCAGTAACGTTCCCCCTTTCATGGGTACTTCCCAGACCAGCCAGTTCAGCCCCTCATTTCCCAGTGAGGTAATGCACTGAGTCAGCGTTCTCACGTGCATCATCATGCCCCACCCACCCACCCAACCACCCAGCATCAGTCCCATTCAATTCACGCCCTCATCCCAACAGCTCTGCGGAGCCTCAACCCTTCCCCAGCACCAGTCGCATGGTCCCATCCCATCCCATCCCATTTCATCCCATCCCATCCCATCCCATCCCATCCCATCCCATCCCATCCCATCCCATCCCATCCCATCCCATCCCATCCCATCCCATCCCATCCCATCCCATCCACGCCACGCCCTTACCGCAACCCACCCGCTTTGCCATCCCAGCAGCTCAGCAATCAGCAATCCCTTGGAAACGACTGACTGCCGTGCGGACGAAGCAACAGCGACAGTAAGCCCATGCGTACCCACCCACCCACGCCCCTGCAAACCCCATCAAACCCATGCAAACCCCGTCAAACCCCTTGCAATGCCCTGCAAGCCCCTTCCAAGCCCCTACATTGTCGATCTGCAAGGTGTGGTCCGTCTCTTTGCCTGTAGTCTGCTCCACGAGCCATTGATAGTAGTCCACCGGCGCCACTGCCTGCTTGCGCCCCGCGCCTGACACCGCCTTCCACACGCGCGCCCGCAGGTGCGGCGGAATGCCCTTCCTTATCAGCCTCTTGAGCGTTGCTGACGAGACCGCCCCACTGCCAAACGCAATGCTCGTGAGGGAGGGTGTGGTGGAGGACGAGGAGGAGGACGGGCGGGAGGAGGCTGAGGTGGAGGAGGAGGAGGGGCGGGAGCGGAGCGGGGAGGCGGAGTGGCGGGAGCGAAGCGGGGAGGCAGAGTGGCGGGAGGAGCGGAGGGGGGACGCGGAGTGGCGAGAGGGGACGGAGGACGCGTGGGGGCGTGTGCGGAGGGGGGAGGCGGAGGGTCTGTAGGGCGACGGGGAGGAGCCTGAGGACGTGCGCGGTTGGAGGGAGGAGGCGGGGGTTGATGCAGAGGCGGAGGAGGAGGTGGGGGTTGAGGAGTCGGTGTTACTGGTGATGGAGAAGGAGAGGAGAGGGGAGGAGGCAGAGGCGGCTATACAGCAGCCTAAGGGAGGGGAGGCGGCACAGGGGGGGAAGGAAGAATCTAGATCTGCGGCGGTGGAGGAGGAGGAGATGAGTGCGCGTGCAGCAGAAAGAGGAGGGCCAGAAGTGGGGGAAGGAATGGTGACAGCAACCGCTGGTGTGGCTGCTGTTGCAGTGGCAGTGGCAGGACCAGAGGTGGCAGGGGTGGCAGGACAAGGCAGGGAGGAGGAAGAGGAGGCGGAGAGAGGCATAGGACCATGGCACGAACTGTCTCTGCTCGAAGCCTCGCTAACGCACTTAGAGAGCGACGACACAGACATGCTATGGGAACGCGAGTGGGGCTGAGAGTGCGGAAGGGATTGCGAGTGTGTGTGGGAGTGGGCGTGGGAGATGGAGTGGGTGTGGGAGTGGGGGAGGGAGCGCGAGGCGGGGGTGTGGAGAGAGGGGTTGGTGGCGATGGCGGCGTGGGTGCGTGCGGCCTGTGTGCCGTCCTCGACGTGGAACCAGTGCGGCCCTCGGTTGGCTTCATGGCTCCACCACACTCGACTCCGCTCCTGCGCTCTCTTCTCCACCTGCTCGTTGAAGGGCGGGCGCAAGGGAGAGAGCGAGGGGGGCACGGAAGGAGGGAAGGGAAAGGAGGGAACAGGAAGGGAAGGCAAAGGAATGGAAGGGAAAGGAGGGAACAGGAAGGGAAGGCAAAGGAATGGAAGGGAAAGGAGGGAACAGGAAGGGAAGGCAAAGGAATGGAAGGGAAAGGAATGGAAGGGGACGGAAGGGAGAAGGAAACGGAAGAGATTGGAAACAGGAGATAAGAAAGGGAAAGGAAGGAAAATTATCCATGCACACAACCATGCACTCACACCATGCACGCACCCACGCACGCACCCATGCACACACACATGCCCACCCACCCACCCACACACACACACACACACACACACACACCCACACACACACACACACACGCACCTGGTTGAGCGCGATGGCATCTTGCAATGACACGAGCGTCTTAAAGTCGTGCATGTCCGTGAAGCTCACTTGTATCACTCCCCCGCCTCCACTGCCGCCCTCCTCCATTGCCACCGGACCCATGCCCCCCATTCACGTCCTGCTGCTGCTGCTGCTGCTGCTGCAGCTGCTGCAGTTGCTGCTGCTGCTGCTGTCCTATCGCTGGGTTTGTCAGGAGACGAGGATGCTTGTAGCAGCTTGGAACTTGCACCTTGCAACTTGCAACGCAAGCACCACGTGAGGCATCCAGATCCGAACTTCTCTTCTCAGCTCTTCTTCTTCTAAGTCCCAACCAACTTCACTTCACCGGGTTCTACTACTACCACCCCGTGCCCCGCACCTCCCTTCTCCAGCACAGCCTCTGCTCTGTCTACCAACCAGCCCGCAGCCCACTTTCACCACGTCACCTTCCCGCACCTCCCTTCTCCCACCTTTCCTCGTCCGCCATCCGGCCCTTGCAAGTTACAACCGCACGACCACACAACCACACAACCACCGTACGTTCTGTTCTTATACAGCAGTCTGCCTCCCACTGTGTTGCTTTACTCTTCCTCCGGGCCCCAGCCTGCCCCCGGGTCTACTTCTGATCTGAACCTCTACAGCCGCTTTTCCCCCGGGCGAACCAAGCCAACGGGACGACCACAATGCTGCTCTCCGCCTCCTTCTCCGCCTTCCGCTCCGTCTTCTCTCCGCCTGCTTCTCCGCCTGCTTCTCCGCCTGCTTCCCCGCCTGCTTCTCCGCCTGCTTCTCCGCCTGCTTCTCCGCGTGCTTCTCCGCCTGCCTCTCCGCCTGTCCCCGCCTGACTTGAGCTCAACTCTCCGCGCCTCCGTGACAGCTTCGACCGCAGTCAAAGCAAGAACCCGCCCCCGCTGCGCTTCGTGTCTACTCCCACTCTCACTGTCACTCTCACTCTCACTCTCACTCCCACTCTCACTCCCGTTCTCACTCTCAGTCTTCCTTGAAGTCTACTTTGTCGTCTCTGAAGTCATCTTCGGCCGAGATCAAGGCGAAAATCTGCGCTGCCGCGCATAGAGCCTACACGCAATCTCCGTCCTGGCCCCGAAATCTATCCGCAAGGCGCCGAAGGACTCAACCAGCGGTACAAAAAGGTTCGTTGCGATTCCGCTGGAAGGGGAAAGGGAAGGGAGGAACGGACGGGGGACAGGGACGGGAGGGAGGGGGGAGGGGGGAGGGAAAGGGGGAGGAGGGAAGGGGGAGAGAGAGATGAGGAACGGGAAAGGGTTACTGAGAGTGACGGCGAGTGCTAGGGTTAGTGCGCGGTATGACACTCGAATAGGACACGGCAGACTCGGAAGGAGCCGTTAGTGGGCCCGGGTTGCTAGACTTTTTGGCATTCTTTGTATGCTGAACAGGCAGAAGTAGGCGAGAAGAACAGGCTTTGTACTCACGACTGACGACTGACGACTCACGACTGACGACTGACGACTCACGACTGACGACTGAAGACTCACGACTCACGTCGCAGAGCGGGACAATCTCGTCCGCCTCCGCGGACCGCGCCTCCATAGACAACCAGAGAAGAAGCTCTGGGTGCGTGTGAAGTGAAACAGACATGTTGATTCGCCCTACGCGGGGAGAAAAAGCGGAACCCGGCGACAACCGACTTTGCTGGTATGGTATGCGGACACCTACGGAAAAAGGAACGCGTACCGTGCGAAATGAGCGCTCGTTCAGTCGCAGTGCCAATGCCGGTGCGCCAATAGGGGGTTGATCTTCCGACAACGGTGGAGGTATGGGCTTGGGTCCACCGCCAACGGTCTGCTTAAATCGGTCGCTTGTAGGAAACCAAGCTGCTCATAATCCCGACGAAGAATGGCAAAGCAAGCACGCTGATACACAGATAAGCTGATAACTCGATAGGCTGGTACGCTCATAAGCTGATAATCTGATAGGTTGATTACCAGATATGCTTCGCGAGCTACTGGGTAGTCCTCGCAGCACGCTGTTACTAGCAGGATCGAGCTCCCTGGGAAAGCTAGCAACCGGACCTAGCAGCGCAGCGCACACACATCGAATTCTCAAGAGGTGGTAGTGGAGCGTAGGTTACTGCGCACGCATGTCGATTGCGTTCACTAAGGTGGGAGAGACTGGTTTACTATCGCGGTACGAGAGACGAAAGTTGGGACGGGAGACTAGGGGACGCGGAATGAAGTGGCGCGAAGAGCGTTCACGCAATGATCGACGAAGCAATTGACGAAGTGACGGACGATCTGAGGAGCGATCACAATGCCGTTCACTGACGGAATCCGAGCGCCGCAACGCAACGTAACACAGCAGCGACCCTCCACAGCGAAGCGATTATATTTCGTAATTGGTGAGACTAGCGCAGCACGCGATAACAAAAAGCGCCTCACAGACAGCACACCGCAACCTAAATGCCGGTTACTGCTTCACATACAGACGGATGTTTCTTTGTTCTGATGATGAGATGAAGGTGCGCTGTGTGGTGAATGGTCACTGGTCAGTCAGCCAAGTTGTTTGTGGTCAGTGTGTTTGTTTCTGTTGGTCATGCTGTCGTCTGTTCTCTGCTTCTCTGCCCCACGCCTTTAGTCCCTGTACATGCCACATTCCACGGTGTTGTTCGGTACGTCACGGTCTAGAAAGCTAAAAATAGCAGAACCGCTGTTTAACGCGTGGAAACCTATGGTACCGTACTGGACGTTAACGGATGGGTGGCTGTAACACCCCCCGACTGATTTCTATGCCATTTGGAGTTGTCTGCAACTGCGCCTATTTGTTCCTCCATCTCGGGCAGGGATGGAGACGCGGTTTGTCAAGGGACCTAACTGCCCTCAAGCTCTGTTGAGGTGTGCGGAGAATGTCGTCGAATAGAGACGGTTTGGTACGTTGCGGTGCGGTGCACTCCTCTGCGAAAGTTGGGGCAAGAAGTTGAATGGGCAGGAAGGGGTTCCCGATGTGCGGGCGTTTGTTCTGTACTGTATTGCGGCGGTAGAGGGCAGCGAAAGCATCCAAGCTGCTTGCCCAGGGAGGGCGGGGCGACTCGTTCCGCGCATGGCCCATCGCTGCACTTCCCGTGAAATTTTCCGCAGCAGTTTGTTTCAGGCTGACCGCCTGGGTCAGAGACAGATTCTCCCAGTGGGCATATGATCATGTTTCATGGGCAAGTTGGTGGAATGGACGGTGGGATGGCCAAACTTCAAAATGTGCCTTGGGAGGAAATCGGGAATGTGTACTCTTGATTTCTTCTATTTGAGTGCAATACAATTATGTGAAATACATAATCGTATAACATCCATCATGTTCAAGATTTTAGCCTCTTTCGAATGACTCTACAAAGAATCGTTCATCATTCTTCCCGCCTCTGACAATTCCCTCCTGTGACCTTTCTCCCGCCTACTTCCGTTCCAGCAAAACGTCAGCTAAAAGAAACCAGTCAGAAATTCACCTCTGAAACCACCTCAAATCCGCAGGGTTCCCCCTTTTCCATGCCATCGTATGCGTGGCCGAGTTACCCTAACATTTTTCCGTCGTCTCCGCCTTACGAATAGTTCGCTGTTCTGACAACGCAGCAGCTCTTTGGTCGAATCACAGCAGGAGAGGTTATATATGGCCTCCGAAACACCAGTTCCGTCTGAGAGCTCCGGTCCTGGAGCGGCGGCGACGGCGGCGGCGGCGGCGGCTGCAGCCGGCGAAGCGGCTGCGACGACCGAGCGAAACATCGGGAGGGATGAAAAGCCGGTCAAGAGGAAACCCGAAAAGGAGTTGCCAGCTCCTGATTGGCTGCCTGCTGACTGGCACGTGGTTGAGAAAGTGCGCATTTCAGGCAACTCTGCTGGCACGAAAGACAAGGTGACGACGAGGCCAGACGATTGGTCGAACTCTCCCCGTCCCTCCCCTCATCGTCCTCCCCTGCTCGTCCCCTTCAACCAACACACTCCACTCCCGCGCCCGCTACACCCCACCCACGCAAACGCACCCCGACCCGGAGGCTTCCGTGTCTGTCGTTCTTTCCTATTCGTTCCCTTTATTTCCTTCTATTCGCCATTTATTCCACTGCAGGCGTTTCTTTCTTTCCCGGTTCCTTGTGGTTGCTGTACACCACGCCATGGCTTTCCCTCTTCCCCATCCCTCTCATTCCCTCTCATTCCCTCTCATTTCCTTTCTTTTGTTGCACGCCCCTGCAGTACTACCACTCTCCGGATGGCCGTGTGTGCCGCTCCAAGAAAGAGGTGATGGCATACTTGCAAGGAGCGCAGCCTCGAGGGAAGAAGGCAAAGACGAGCGCACACGAGCAGGTGCACCAGCGCCGGCAGCAGAAGCAGCAGCAGCAGGAGGAGGGGGAGGAGGTGGAGGAGCAGCAGCAACAACAGCAACAACAACAGCAACAGCAGCAGCAGCAACAACCCTTTTTCACCCCGTGTCCTCTCACCTCCCTGGTCCTGCCTAATACTCTCGCCTCACCTACTGTACCAGCGCCTTCTGGGGGGTTGCGTCATTGTCATACGGCAGCAGCAGCAACAGCAACAGCAGCCGCACCGCCCGCCTTTTTCGCGACACCAGCGGCCGCTGGTAACCAAGCAGGCAGCGCGCATCCGCATGCTGCTGACGTCGCAGACGCTCGTCCTTGCCATTTCCAGGCCTCGGTCGTGTTCGGGTTCCCTGCTGCCTGTCCTTTCCCCCTTGTGCCGCCCAGCTTTCGCTGGCCTGGTGGTTCCCATGAGCCTCTGATGGACACAGGGCGTGGTTCTGTCGGGGAAGAGGGGGGTGGGGAAGTGGGGGCGTTAGCATTCGCAGGACAGGGGAAGGTGGAGGCTCAGGGGAAGGCAGAGATGCAGACAGAGAATTGTGAAGAGCACCATTCAGGAGTTACACGTTGTGAGGTTCCAAGACGAGTGGTAGAAGGTGCAGCAGAATCAGCAGCGTGCAAGTCTGGTGGCGGCAGCATGCGTGGGGCTGGGTTGGGCAGGGCGAGGAGGAAGCAAAGGGCGCGGAGGGATTTGCAGGAGGAAGAAGCGGAAGCAGAGCAGGGGGGAGGGTGCGGCAGGGAAGAGGAGTTGGGTTTTTCGTCAGGCGGAATTGAAGGGAGAAAGAGGGGTGGGAGGGATGGGGAGGACGGCTGGAGCGGGGGAAGCAGGATAGGTGTTGAACCAATGGAGGAGAATATCTGGCAAGAAGAGATGGCTGGTAGGGAAATGGGAGACGAGGAAAGTGTGAAGCCGAAGGTGGGGAGTGCTGGACAGGCCGAATTGGGGGGTGGTAGTGAGGGAAGGAGTAAATGGCGATGGAAGAGTGAGAGTGACTGGATGACAAACCATGCAGGCACTTCTGCATGCCAATTAGATGCAGGCACGCAGTGGTTTTGGCGGGTGGGAGGAGGTGGACGTGGGGGAGTGGAGAGTAGAGGAGAGTAGGGTGGAGATAATGTGGAGAGTAAGGATGTGAGTGCGAGTGCAAGGGCGAGTGTGCAGGGGGGTTGTATACAGGTGAACGAGGAGGGCGCATGATTGTACTGAGTGAACGGAAGAGGTGGTCGGAAGCACGGGAAAAGGGTAGCTGTTAGTGATCTCAGCACTAACAATAAATGGAGGGATCAGAATACGGATACCAGTTGCGGAATGACAGCAGCAGTGTGTGTACCTACTTGGTTAATTGACAATCCGGTGTTTCTACCTACAGGCTTAGGGCGTATTCCTAGCTTCGTGTCATCCCGTATTGGTGTCATCCGGAATTTTGGGAGCCAATCGCAAATCCCGCGTTTCGAGCTTTGAATTTTCCGATTGGATCCCACAATTTCGGATGACACAAAGCCAGGAATACGCCTTTATTCTTTCAAGGAAATTTCAGCTGTTGTGTATACCAGCCATTTTCTCAGATATACCAACCATGTGTGCAGTGCAGCGTCAGCGGAGCCTTATGGTATTTATTTCCCTGATTCATGCCTTGACCTGTGAACTCAGGGTTGACAGTAAATAATTTGGTACAGCTAACTGGAAAGCCACCCTGGCATGGGAGAGCAACTAAGAACTATGCAAGGAGGAGACGGGTGAAGTCGGTACAGTAAACTCACCTCTTTACAGTAAAGTCGCGTAGCTACTTCGAGATCAATGACAATTATGATGCTAATTTACTATCGGGAGGAAGGAAGTCACACCTTATCGGGAATACGTTTGCAGATATCTTGGACAGATACGCAATGCGCATGCAGTAAATGCTGTCATTACGGACGGATTGCAAACCACACCCACACCCACAGCAACGAGACGAGAGCAGTCACTTGCCGTTTCACTACCTTGCAAATGGGTTTGGTCTGAATTCCGTGTCTCCACACAAACCGACGTGTGCACAAACAGATGTATGAATTGGTCAATTGGGCACGTGACACATGTAGGCCCTGCTAACGACTCAAAAACAAATTTTGGATCCTTCTGGCCGTTTTGTGGCTTCCGAGCGTCCCTCAACTGCACGGCAATGAATACCCCCCTTCCCATCCCACATGGGCTCGTTGTGTGGAGTGGATTGAGTGATACACCAGGCCAGAACCCCTTCGACTCTGAAGGAAAAAAAATACCAGCCCGCGTAAATACAGACCTAGCGTATTTTCCTCTAGGTAACAAGAACTTTGCCACAAGGAATCATCATTTTCACAGTTCGGGCTACCGTCAGAACCAGCCTGGTCCTGACCTTTCCAAGGAAGCGCGAAATCTGTCTCTTATGTCATGTATACAACAGCGGATATATTATGTCATGTATTGAATCTTAAAGCAAAATGTATCTTACATAAATCCGTGTGGCGAGGGGAAGGCTCTGAGCTTGGGTGGGATGCTTTCCCGCACTCGGTCAGCTTCCTTCACAAAATCCGTCCCAGTATTTTTGGCCAATGCGCGCCTGCTGCGAGACAGCTTGTCAGAGAGAGCTGCGCTGCGTCAGGGCGTGCCCAACTGTCAACTCATACAGCTCCCCCTCCTCCTCTCTATACCACAACAAGCTACAGTACACATTCAGTGTTACATCTGCCCTTGCCACACCATTTGAGGTACACGACATTTCTCGCTTAAATCCTCGGGACCTAACCACCGCTATTTTCAAGGGGAAACCCAACCCACGAATCTCGCGTTTCAAAGTACCCTGCACGTTGTCGACTATTTCAGTTCGACACTTAGATAACTGGGGCTATGAATGACGCCTAATGCTCGAAGTTTAAACTCATTATGCGAATCTGAATCCATAGCGCCACTTCTACAGTACTCTCTTCGGGGATCTGGAACAGACTCTCGCTAAAATCTAATGATGCCCCACACAACCCTCGGTCAAAGATTTAGAAAGGGTGCATACCCCACCTGTGCAAGTGGGGTTGAAAATAGACCGAAAGAAAATAGCGGTGGTTACTTGTATTTAGAGACACCCATTCGTTCTGCCCAGAATTTCTTGCAAAATCTCCTCTCCCTGGAATTCGTCCCCAGAAATCTGCATGCCCTGGCACAGGCAGTCAGCCACCTTTGACAAAGCCCAGATGAGTTGGCGCTGGTTGTAATTGCGGTGTCGACCGCATCTGAACTGTTCGGACGTGACCCTTCCACATCATCCATCCGTTAGTTAGTACAGTAGTACAGTCTCATTATTATGGGCCACGCCGCGTGCCCCTGCCTTCCTCCCTACCTCTTTCGCTCGCCTCCCCTTCCCCCCATCCCACAGACCACAGACCTTGGGATTGACGCAAAAAATGTTTCCCGCCCGTGCTTTTCCTCCCCTCCCCTCCCTCAATCCACCTCCATCCTCCTGACTTCGCCCTTGCTTGCATCCATCAAGGGGTGCCTTGCCCTGCCCTGCCTTCCACACCGAGTAATGTGCACGACGCTACCTTCCTCGCTTCGTTCTTCTCGGGTCTCGTCTCGACTTGAACCACCTCACTTTTTCAGCAGATTCCCCCCACCTTTCCCAACCTAACAAGTTTAGACCAGAATCCAATCAGCCGGTATGAGAACTCTTTCATGAGGTCACGCTTTTCTCGCTGTCCAAACGAACTCGGTCCAGCCTGTCGTGTGGGTTACGTACACATTTCCTTGAATCAAATCAACCGCCCATTCTCGGCATGAGCTAGCCTTGGCTTTCATGCCCACCGCACACTCACTCACCTCGCGTCGCCTCAACCCCGTTGTTGCTTCCCTCCCACCACTCACATATTCGCTGTGCAGAACAGCCCAGCCTACATTTGCATTTCCCTCCACCTACTGCTGCTTCACTTTGCTCCCTTCAGCATTCCACTCCCGCACGCTCCTCGTCCGTACTTTTCTCTCAAGTGCGCGTCGCCCCCCTGTACCCACGCTTCCGCCATTGCTCACCAACGGAATGCGTTTAGAAGGTTCGTTGAAACCACGCCACGACATCACTACACTTACCATCCACCATACCCAATCAGCGGCTTCTAAAACCAACCCCGCGCGTTGCCCGGCGCTCACAGCGCCTCGCATGCCCCTCGCCGCCCTCCTCCGCTCCGATTCGTACATGCCCACTCTCCTCAAATCAAGGAGACCCAGATTCTAGAGTTACTCCAGCGCAACAGCAGCCATTTTGTTCACCACCCACTCAGCCTCTGAACAAGCGTCGGAGGAGCGTCGTTTGATAGCATAAACCACCAGCGGTAGCACCTTATACTCGAGGCGCGTACGACGAGCACAACGCATTCGTGCGTAGTACCCCTGCGATATCTGTATCTCCCTGCAGTCTCAACCTCGGACTCCATAACTCGCTCTTAGGGCGCGTTTTCAGGCTCCACCAACTTAGATTCTCTCCTGGTGTCAACCATATCGTTCCACGTCCCAGAACCCTGCACGTGGCATCGCTGGTCAGTGCATTATCTCCTTTTCGCCTGATCAGTCTCGGTTCGTCCGTCCGTCACGCAATCCACCTGCTAGAACCGGAGCATATCATCCGAAAGCAGAGCCTCGAAGACCCGAGTCCCGAACAAACAAAGTCCTGAAAACCAGAGCACGGAAATAGCCGTTGACCAGTGGCGCGGCTCGGAATCCATTCCACCCTTTTGAGCCGTCTGGAGCTACTCTTTTGAATTACTGTTGCGGTTCGAGTGCCCGGAGGAAGCCACTGCGCTTAAGCTACTGCCCTTCTGCCGTTGCCGTGAGAGGCGCGCGAGCGAGCGTGCCTGCTCGCTCTACTACGCGTTCCGCTGCGCACCTCCCCAGAGGCTCCTGAGCCATGGCGGATCCTGGCGCGGGCGGCGGCGGCGGCGGCGAAGTGAAGCCGCCGAGTGAAGTGAAAGTCCTGGTGGCGGAAGATAATCCCGTTAGTACTCTCGCTCTTCCCTCCCCCCTCCTCCCCTCCCCTCCCCCCCCCTCCCACCCCCCCCACACCTCATCCTCCGCTTCCTAACTCCTCTCTCCGTCGGTTCCTTTCTCATTTCCCGTCCCTTCTCTCTCGTGGCCTTTCTCTCTCAATCTATTGACTTCCGCGTCGAAAATCTCGGGGTTTCTCGGCCTCGTCCGCGCACTTGCTCCCTCGTCGCTTCGCACTTACCCAGCCTCCACTCACCTTCCTTGTGCTGCGTTCTCCCTCATTCCCCCTTTCTCCTCCCTATCCCCGCCTCCTGTTTCACCCAATATCACCAAGTCTCACCCCGTCTCACCCCGTCTCACCCCGTCGCACCCGTCTCACCCCGTCTCATCCCGCCCCACCCCGGCAGGTCAACGTCATGGTTCTACTGTCAATGCTCAAGCGCCTCGCCTTAAAGCCCGTGGTCGCCAAAAACGGCGTCGAGGCGGTCGAAGCAGTCGAGAAGACCAAGTTCGATATTATCCTCTCCGATATATGCATGCCTCTCATGGACGGGTTGACTGCCACTTGTCTCATCCGCGAGTACGAGCGCACGGGCGTGTTTCCGCGCGAAGCCATTCAGAAAGCGCGCGCCTCTGGCGCCCCCGCGGGGAACGAGAAGGAGGGCGCGGCGAACTGGAGCCCTGGGGACGGCGCGGCGGGGGAAGGCGGAAGCGAAGGCGGGGATTTCCGCCCGCGCACGCCGATTATCGCGGTGACCGCGAACGCGCTAGCCGCGGACCAGGAGCGGTGCGCGGCCGCGGGAATGGATGGGTTTCTTGCGAAGCCTGTTAATTTCCCGAAGCTTAAAGAGCAGCTAGTTAAGTACGGCGTGCTGGCTCCGGAAGGAGCGGCGGCACCGGCTGCGCCGGCGGCGGCTCCCGCCGCAGCCGCGCAAAGGGCAGGCGGAGCTGGCGCGGGGAGAGGCGGGGGGAGGCCGCCGATAGTGGATTCGGACGACGAGGAGGGGAGTGAAGATGAGGAGGAGGGGGAGGAGGAGGAGGAGGGGAGCGAAGGCGAGGAAGGGGAGGAGAGTGAGGAAGAGACGGGGAGCAAGCGGGTCTCTGGTGCAGCCCGCGCAACACCGGCGGCAGCAAAAGTGGCATCGTCAGCAGCAGCAGCAGCAGCAGGAGGAGGAGGAGGAGGAGCTGCTGCTGCAGCCACGTCATCGCCTTCGTCACCTGAGGGTCAGGTGAAAGCTGGTGCCGGTGCAGCTAACAGAAGCCCGGTAAAAGGCTCACGGCGCGACGAGGAAGACGACGAGGGGGAGGAGGAGGAGGGAGACGAGGAGGATGAGGGGGAGGAGGAGATAGCGGATAATGCGGAGAGGAAGCTTAAGGAATCTAAGACTCGAGGCGATTCCCCTGCTGCACCGCCGACAGCAGCAGCAGCAGCAGCAGCAGCAGCTGCAGCGGCTTCTGAGGGGAATGGAGTGATGGCGAATGGGGTAGCCAATGCAGCTGAGCGAGGGGCCGATGGTGGGGCGAAGGAGGCTGGAAAGAAGGAGCAGGAGAAGGAGGAGCAGAGGAGGCGGAGGGAGAGGCAGAAGAGCATGGAAGAGGGGTTGCTAGGTGCCCAGGCTGCTCTGGCTGCTGTTCGGGAGACGCGAGAGAGGGAGATAGAGGAAGAGCGAGCTAGAGAAAGACAGAGGGTGGAGGAGAGGGAGAGGGAGAGGGAGAGGGAGAAGAAGGAGAGGGAAATGGAGAGGGAGGTGAGGAAGGAGAGGGAGAGAGAGAGGGGGGAGAGGAAGGAGAGGGAGAGAGACAGCAGCAACGGCAGTAGGAGGAGCGGTAGCGCGAGCAGGCACAGGGAAGCGCGGGGCGGGGAAGGCGGCGAGGGCAGGAGCGATCTGAGCAGGAGCAGCGGCGGCAGCAGCGGCGGATTAACTCACGAGGAACGGAGGGAGCGCAGGCGCGAGCGGAAAGCAGCTGAAGCCACTGCTGCCGCCGCCGCCGCCGCAGCCGCTGCAGCAGCAGTCGCAGCAATGCCAGGTTTCTCCACTTCCTCCTCTTCTCACCACCACCGCCACCACCGGCGCCAGCAGCAGCAGCAGCAGCAGGACCCAAGGAGCGGCCTGTTGACTAAAGGCGTCTTGAAAGGTAATGGTCGTGGGGAGGAGCGAGCAGATTTGGATTCACAGGTGCCGTATGTGCAGCAGTGGGTGGAGCAGGTAGGTGCTCTTGGTCCGTTGGGTCAATACGGCCTCTCTGGTGCTGTCACTGCTGCTGGGGAAGGGAAAGGGGACGGGAAAGGCGAAGGGGAAGGGGCAGCGCGGCGGGTTTCGCCCCTGGGGAGAAGGGCGGATGGGGCGTGTGCTTCTGGTGTGAGAGCGGGGACGGGGGTGGGGGGGGAGCTGGTGTGGAGAGAGGGAGGGGGAGACATTGGCCTGGTAGCGGTTGGGAGTGCTGCAGGAGTGGGAGGTGGGAAGGAGAAACGCCTGTCGCGGCGACACAGGAGGCTGTCTGGAGAGTTCTCTTTGGAAGGAGTGGGAGAGAGAGTGAGGGGGGGGGACCGGGTGCACCACTCGGGTCCTCTTCCTGTTGTGTCCAACTCGCTAACGGCTCAGCTGCAAGCCCTGCAGGCGCAGCAGGAGCAGCTGCAGATGCAGCTGCAGCAGCTGGAGCAGCAGCAGCAGCAGCGCGAGCAGCAGCACCAGCAGCGGCAGCAGCTGCTGCAGCAGACTCTGGAGCAGCACCAGCAGGGGAAATCACCACCACGACAGCAGCAGCAGCAACAGCAGCAGCTCAACGCGTTCGGCTCTTCGTCTTCGCTCCCACAAGCAGTGACCAACGAAGGTCAGTTTCCGAATTCCCTGCTTTATTCTGGTTCCGTAGGGGCTGCTGCTGCCACTGCAGTAACAGCAGCCGCAGCCGCAGCTGCCACAGCAGGAGCAGCAGGGTGGGGAGGAGGAAGAGGGGGTGCGTTTGGGAGCAAGGAGTCGTCTGAAGAGGAGGATGCAGTAGCATCCCACCTTCCTGCTCTCATGTCGCTCTCCTCCTCCTCCTCTTCCTCCCTCTCGTCCTTGGAGCAACAATGCTGCCAGAGCGGCCACCGGCGCCGTAGCACTCTCTCTCATGCTGACCGTTACAGCAACAGTATCAGCAGCAGCAACCTGCTTTCTGATGCCACTGCTGCTGGTGGGTCGGGTGGTGAAGGTCCTTTTTGGTGAAGGTCCCATTGCCGCCCCTGCTGCTGCTGATTCTGCCGCTGCTGCTGTTGCTTTGCTTGTTGCTTGCTGTTGTTGCAGTCTTCATGCATTTTCTAAGAGCCACTCTGACAATCGCATGTTGCCTCACCCTGTCTCCTCTCCTCCCTTCTTTCCCGCCCACTGCTTCTGTTTCTGGTTGCTTGCGTCCACCCAGGGGTCACGTCGACAAACCCTTCTGCTGCAGCAGCAGCGGCGGCGGCAGCGGCAGCAGCAGCAGAAGCAGCGTATGCCGCCACGTTAGCTGCAGCGCAGGGGGCAGCGAGAGCAGTAGGAGGACGGGGAGTAGGGGGACTAGGAGGAGGCGGAGGAGGAGCAGCAGGAGGAGCTGCTTCGGGCGTTTTGCTGGGTGCAGGGCTGCACCAGGACGGCATGTTGCCAAGCATGCAGCTGCAGCACCAGCTGCTCTTGCAGCAGCAGCAGCAGGAAGAGCAGCAGCAGCAGTACCAGGAGCAGCAGCAATTGATGGCACGAGCAACACATGCCGCTGCTGCCGGCACCAACGGGAGCTACGACAGCTGTGGCATGGGCTTAGGCATGGGCATGAAGGAAGGAGGGCAAGTCAGGAAAGTCTCGCCAGTGCCACATAGGCTGAGAGAATCAGCCATGGCTGCTGGTATTGGTGGTGGTGGTGGTGGTGGTGCAGATGAATTGATGGATCCTGGATTCGACCAAGAGGGGGGTCCGTCTGTCTATGGAGCCATTTTGTGGCCTCACGGGTCGGGCAGGATGCTTCTGCCCGAGAAGGCATCTCGCTCCCACTCTCACGAGCTCAGCCGCAGCAGGCTGCACCGGGAGCAGCAGAAGCAGCGCGAGAGAGGCGGCAGCGGCGGCGGCGGCAGTGGCAACGGCAGCAGTGGGGAGGAGCTTGACGGGCATGCGGACGTGGCTCGACGCTCCTACTCACACACCCACACTCGCTCCTCACACTCACACTCACACTCCCACTCCCTCTCGCACTCGAACTCCCCTGTGCGGTCCCACAGCCCGTCTTACCAGACCGGCCTGGGAGCCAGTGGGCTTAGCAGCCATGGGATGAATGCTGCTGGCATGGGCCGGAACGGGGAAGCTGCTGCGTCAGCAGCAGTAGCAGCAGCAGCAGGAGGCAAGTCGTCTCTGATGTATGGTCCTGGGAGCAAGTCTATGAGCTCCCTTGGGCGCCGACAGTCCAGCAATCTGTCTGCGACTGCTGCTGCAGCGGCAGCGGCGGCTGCGGCTGTGCCTATAGGAGTGCGGGAGGCCCTGTGGGATGAGAGCAATGGTGGTGGCGGGTCTCGGTCTAACAGCCCGTCTGCTGCTCTGCGCCTGCTGCAGCAGCAGCAGCAGATAGCGGGGATGATGGGACATGGTGGTATGGAGGGAATGGGAATGGGAATGGGAATGGGGATGGGGATGGGGATGGGGATGGTAGGAGGGAGAGGGGAGAAGTGGGCTAGGGAGGAGGCGCTAGTAGCAGCAAGACTGGAGCTGCAGCAGCGCGTGCAGAGGAAGAGCAGGGCTAATGCTCCACTTTCTGCCAGAGTTGTTACGGATCTAAATTCTGTTGCGAGTATGGTGATTAATCCATACCACTAGTACTTGATGATGGTACTGTGCGGTGACACTTCATTGCACATGCGAACAGTGCTAGCTTCCATATTTTTGTGTGTGTTATTGCCCTGAGGTTGTATATTATTCTATGCTGTACGTGTCTTTACGATGTACAGTTAGGGCGTATTCCTACGACCTCCTATCAAGAAACCTCATATCAAGAATGTAGTTTGACATCGTGTTCGTTATAAAACACCAGTTATCTAGATTGGAATGATTGAGCGAACCAATAGAAATGCTCGCAGGGTGTCGCGTGATCGTGATGACTTCCCGGAACACGGTTCCATCTAACGAACAGACGTCAGGCCAGTGTATGCGGCAGTCACCAATTCGTGCCATGCTGGACGATGTGGCGGTCGTGCGCTGCGCGCGAACGTGCACGGAATGCAAATTTTGGGAGCCATTTTCACACCTGGCTCCATGCGACACGTCTACCACCCCCAGCACGTCAAGCACTTCACGTGCCCTCTCATCCAAACACACATGATACAGAGCACCCAACGCGCCATCTTGCTCTCTATACATTGGTATTCCAACCATTCCTTGGCACGCAAAGCACCGTACATCCAACAACAAAGCTCGAAAGCGTAAAGTAGTCAGCCAGGCAGACGAAGAATCATGACATCCAGAGGATCTTGCCTATGTGGCGTGGATGAACGCTGAACTCGCGAATGGTAGACCCACTGCAAAGCCTTAGCGTAATGTGGGCCAGCCACCCGCAAAGTCACCCGTCACACCTCGCGCCACGGCCGGGACCAGTAATGTCGGTCTGCACGTCGACTATGACACTGACGAGGACGACACGGAGAAGGAGACTGCGGATGGCGACGATGACGAGGATTTCGAGTTTGAAGAACCCGACGAGGCGTGGTGCGGCGACGCGGAATATGGTGGCCCGCGTGATGCTCGCCCCGTGGTGCCGGCCGCGGCAGCAGAGAAACGAGGCTCTAGTAGCCGCGTCGAGGCTCGCGGGAAGGGAAAGGGCAGTCACCAGGCTGGCGCGAAGAATGTCGACTGTTTGGGCACAGGCCCGAAATCGGACTGGACGGCCAAAGAGTCAACCATATTGTGCGCCGCGCGATGGTTCACCAAGGAGGAGCTCAACCAAATGACGGGAAAACAGGGGTCGCAGTATTGGTTGCGCCTCATCGAACACATTAAGAAGAAGCATCCCGATTGGTGCAGGAATGCCAACGCCTGCACCAATCAGTGGAAGCGACTTAAAGCGCTGTGGAAGCAGATCGAGATCGGGGATTCGGCATCTGGAGGCGGAACGGTGATAAAGCCTCCGTGGTGGCAGTGGATGGTGCTGTTCTACGAAGACACTGCTGCGGCCGAGCCTCACGATCTGGATAATGGCGGTGCAGATAACGTGACAGTGGACCCTGGCGTCAAGATTCCCAAGCCGGAGACTACTGCTGCCACAACAACGCCTGGTATGTGTGTTGAATGCGAGCCCAGTTTATAGCAAGTTGAAAATCCGAGCGTGTTCAAATTTGGAATACTATGTAATGTCGCTTACACCGTAAAAGAATGACTGATTGTTCTGCCATTACACCTCAATCCCGTAACCCTTCCCGCTCTTATCCCTAGTTCGTAACACCCCGCCCAGTGCACGACGCCGTATTAATGAGACGGCGACCATGGTAGCCGCTCAACTGTTGGCCGACACATTCACCAAGTGCTCCCAGGAAGGCGTAACACAAATCACCGGAGCGATACGCGAGTGGATGGCCTCCCAGCAGTCAACAACAAGCCGTCCGCTCAACGTCGGAAGCAACCCCGCGGATGAATCAGGGCCGACCGGCGACAATACCGACGTCGGTGATGAAGTCACTTACGACGTGGAGGTGTGGCATCGCCGCTCCGACGTCGCTTAAGGTATTCCACATGCAGCGCCTCCTCGAGCCTCTTCCTCCTCTCCTTGAGATCATGTCTAGTGACGGCTAGATCGGCGCACCAATTATACCGTGCAAGTTCTCCTCTCGTCCACCATGGGTCTTGGTTGATCAGCTGCGCGGCCCACGTGTGATTGATTGTTCTCATCCTGGAAGTTGCCATCTTGATCCCCATGTTGTGCAGTATGACAACACAGCTGGCGCCGGCAAGGACCCGCCATAACGCACACTCGTGGCGGCCGGCAAATAGGCGGTACCGTCCTTTCAGCGCACCAATGGTTCGCTCGACGGGCATACGAGTCGCGGACTGGCAGTAATTGAAGGTTTGCTCCCACTCGAGCATGAGGCGGCCGGTGGGAGCATGCAATGGCGTCAAGCAGTAGCTACAGAGCGGGTAGGAGGCGTCTCCTACCGGCTGGTACGGTGCGAGGTCACCTCTTTGTAGTCGCTCGTAGAGGCTAGACAGGACGAACACCCGCTGGTCATGCGCGGTGCCTAGATAGCCTATTAGGTAATCCCATATGGTTCCTTTAGCGTCGCATATCACTTGTAGCTGCACAACATATTGTGATTTCCGCGTGTAATATTCCGCCCGATGCCCCTCCATCCCCCGAATCTGAACATGTGGGCCGTCAATAGCACCTACAACCATTGGTACCCCTTTAATACTCCGAAACTCTTCCGCCATGTCGCGCATTTCATCCTGTGTCGGGAAACGTACCCAGGCCGCCTTGAACACGGTGGGAAAGTTTAAGAGGAAGAGGTCTACGAGGCGATGGCATAGGGTTTTTGGCACACCGAACCAGAAAGCCAGGTCCACGTACGCCATCGCGCAAGCGAAATACTTGATTGGTATGAGGACGGCCACTGTAATTGGGATGCGATGGCGCTGGATGACGGGGTTGAGCACGTGAGCCATTCCTTAGCATACGTATTCCAGAATAGCGCGATTAATGCAGAAGAGGTCGATGAACACCTCCTCGGGCATGGTCGCCATTTCGTCCTCCCACACGCCTAATCGGCGCCGCCGTAAGCTTCGGTTTCGAGCACGCAATTCACTCCTCGTCTCTATCATGGTATCTTCTTCCGCATTGCTTATCTGCTCGAGAAACTTCATGCACGACTTGAGCGCACTGTGCAAGAATGTGTCGTAATAAAAGGCGTGCCATACTATTAACAACCTAGGCAGGAAAGAAACATCCGTCATAGTCGGGGGTTGTAGGCACGATTGTCAGGATTGCCGTAAGTTGCGAGTATTTGTACTACTTCTACGAATAGGCATGAGGGCTTGGCGTGGATGGGCTTACGTGGTGCTCTTTTGATGTGAACCGGAGCGTCTGACCAAGCTGGGTCGCAGCGTGCCACATCAGCGTTTGTTTTGGGTCGCACATGTGGGGAAACCGTCAAGTTTTGTTGATAGGAGGTTGCGCGAGCTTGCAAATTTACAGGCGAGAACTACATTCTTGATAGGAGGTTTCTTGATAGGAGGTCGTAGGAATACGCCCTTACATATCCAGGGGAGGAGCCTGGAAAAGCCCTCCAGGTTTAACACCCTGCTGTAGGTGATATGGACTCCACCCCCATGGAGGTTCAATCATTCCACTCTCAGAGAGTGCCACAGCCAAGAGAGGTGGAACCTGCGAGCACACGCTTCTAAAGCGACCCATGTAGAGATCAGAAGTTGATCGGGGCCTAGGATCTACTCAGGAAGGATCGCACGCAGAGAAGTGGTGTTGGTGGGCCCTTGACCTCAATAGCAGAGTGAATGTAAATATGAGAAATTTTTTATAATAAAATAAAAAATTTGCAGATTGTGATTCGATTTGAAGAGGGGTGTGCTGTAAAGGAGACAAGCTCCTTCATCTCTCGGCAGGTCTTGGGGACCTGCCACCTAGTCTCATTTGCAATTTCCAACTCTCTTGCTCCCACCCTCCACTCCCCATTTCCCACTTAGGTTTTGTTTCAACATAATATTGTACTTATTGATACTGAGTGTGCTGTATTATTGAGATTTGAAATGCTATGACGACTGCACTGCACACTCCTCTGAAAGTCGTGTCACAATGCTTGAGATGATTAAGACATGCATACATCGAGTTTATATAAGAGTACAGGGGAATGCGAAAAGACCTAGACTAGCCATGTACTCTAAGGGGTACATTCCCTTATTCAAATACATCCCCAACTGTGCGGCGCGAACAGTTACGAAACTGCTCCCGCCGAAACCATCCTGTCTGCAGGTGCCTGATGTTGTCTGCTTCGACGGTTCAGATGCGTTCCAACCGTCTGACGCTTCGCGTTCATTCGCGATACTGCGTGCTTCTCTTTGCTGCGGTGAGGAGTGCACAGTAATGTTCAGGTAATGTGCACATGTTGCGCGGAACCGGCGTCGGCACCTTTGATGCCCATGGCAAGCCGCGACCCTACACCTACGAGAAGTTCTTGGCCATCTACTCTCATCGACGCGACTCATCAACGATACTCACCGCGGAGCAAGAGGAAGAATTGGCGCGCCGCGAAGGTGAGGAGCTTCGCCAGCTAAGCCTCGCAGAAGCACGTGGAACCCTCGCTTGCGCCACCTGGAGAGCCGAGGCCGAAGAAAGTGCCTCCAATGAAGGGGGGTGGGGAAGCGCTGGAGGATGGGGAACAAGTGACACTGGCGGCTGGGGAGACACCGGCGGATGGGGCCCCGCAACTAGCGCCGACAACAGCGGCTGGGGTACTTTCCGCGAAGAACAAAAGGGGGGAGAGGACGAAACTAAGGAAACTGAGGCAACACCTGCAGTCGTTCCTCTTGGTCGTCCCTCGCGACACGTTCCACTCGCACCACCTCCTCCTGACAACCCCCCGCGGCGCGATCCATCGGACACCATCATCTGGGGCAACGAGCCGTCAACCACGCGTCGCACCATCTACGGACCTGCTCCAGAGCCACGCGAACCGGCGTTCGTACTTGGCACGATCCCCGGGACCAACATTCCGCTCTCTGAGATCCGTGACAGAGAGTTTTTGGCGCTGATGCTGACCACCGCGCTGGAAGAAGCAGAGGGAGTAGCAGCAGAACCTACCCCTGTACCTGACGAAGACCCTAAGGAAGCACGCGCACGCTACATACGCACCTCCGGCTTTCGCGCTGACGACACTCTCTGGCACCAGCGCCTCGGACACCCTTCACGTGCGACACTGAAAAACTGCATCGACGCAGGCGTCTTCGCTCCTGGCGCACTACTGCGCCCTGATGGCTCCGAAGTGAGAGGCGCAACACATCCGCGCAACTGCACCGTCTGCCCCGAAGCTGCGCTGAGCCACCAACCGTTCCCGTTACTCGAACCTGGAACGAACCGCTACCCCAAGCTACACAAGGCGTACAGGGATTTCCTGAACGTAGGGCACTGCGGAACCGAGGACGAAATGTACACGCTCACCTTCATCGACGCTGGAACGCGCTACGTGTGGGTCGTGAACGTGGAGTCACGCGACAAAGCCTACGAGGTGTTTCGCCTCTGGCTGGCGCACGCAGAGCGATAGTCTGGGAAGAAGCTGAAAATCTGGCAATCTGACGGCGCGGCAAAATTCAGGAGCAACCAGATGCAAACCTACCTCACGCAAAAGGGGATCGAGCACCATATTTCTCTCCCCTACGCGCACTAGCAGCAGGGCATAGCTGAGCGGACGAACCGCACGCTAATGACGAAGGTACGCGCTCTGATGAGGCAGTCGAAATTGCCGCCGATCTACTGGACCTACGCAATGCACCACGCAGTACGGGTGCACAACCTACTCTCGACCACCGCCATTACCGGCAATCTGTCCCCGCACGTCAAATGGACCGGGACCAAAGGGGATACCTCCATGCTGCGCGTATGGGGGTGCATGGTTCAATACCGCCCGCCGACCTCAACCATCGGCAAATTCGCCAGCCGCGCTCGCTGGGGGATCCACCTCGGCATCAGCCATGAGTACAAGGCCTGGATCGTGCTGGACCTCCTCAGTCAGAAAATCGCCCACGCTCGCGACGTCATCTTCTACGAGCGCCTCTTCCTCGACCAGTTCCGCCGTGACGAACAAACGAACGCGAACCGCGTCTACGCTAACGACGGGCACAGCTACGCAACGCCCGAAGACGAAGCTGCTGCAGCAATCTTGGAGCAGGAAACGAGGGGCGAGTTCGTGTGGGAAGAACGACGCAGCGACAACAACGATGACGATTCCTCGGGAGGGGGAATGGGCGCAGAAGGCGGAAGCGGAACAGGCGGAACAAGCGGAAGCGGCAGAGGCACGGCACCACTAGCGCCTCCTGAACCAGAAAGCGACGACGACGACGTACAGGAAGTCATCCCGCAACGTCGCCACAACAGCACCACCTCGGTACTACAGCTGCTCGGGCTCCACACCGCAACTTCGAAGCCGCCACGTGTCGTCGAGCCCCGAAATCCGCGCGAAGCTCTTTCTGGACCACACAGCAAGGAGTGGCGCGAAGCAATGGATGCGGAAATCCGGGCACTCGACTCACGCGACACCTGGGTGCTCGTCGACCGTGCAGCAGTAAAGGGGAGAAGGATTCTCTCCGGCAAATGGGTCTTCCGAGTGAAGACAGGAGCCGACAGAAGGATTGAGCGATTCAAGGCACGCTGGGTGGTACGCGGCTACGATCAAAGGCATGGGATTGACTTTGACCAGACATTTGCGCCGGTCAGCCGTCACACGTCCCTCAGAATTCTCCTTGCCATCGCAGCCGCACGACACCTACCACTACGGCAGATCGATGTGAAGAATGCGTTCCTGTACGCATTAGTGGACGCCGTGATCTACGTGGAACAGCCACACACTTACGGCGACGGAGACCCACGTGTCTGTCAACTACGCAAGTCCCTCTATGGGATCAAACAGGCACCGAGACTCTGGCAGCAGTATCTGCACAATATACTGCTTGAAATCGGGTTCAAGCAGCTGCCTCACGATCCTGGAATGTATCGCCGCGATTTCCGTGGCGAATACATCTTCCTCACGGTCTACGTCGACGACCTTCTCTACACAGGCTCAAGCAACGAACTGCTCGAGCAGTTTGAGAGAAGCCTCGCGGGGCGCGTCGAAATCACATGCAATCATGACGTGAAGCAGTTTCTTGGACTCAACATCACCTACTCGCCGGAAGCCATTCATCTCTCAGCAGCGAAGTATGCGGAGGAGCTTAGCAAGCGCTTCAACATTGCACCTGCACCACTCTCCACTCCCTACCGCACTCCAGGACCCAACCACAAGCCTGACAGCAAAGCCTTGTCCCCTGCTGGGCTTCACACTTACCAGCAGCAGTTGGGATGCCTGCTCTTCGAATCCGTTACCTGCAGGCCCGACCTCTCCTACATTGCGAGCCAGTTGGCTCAGTACTCACGCAAACCAACGGCTGAGAACCTTTCAGATCTTCAGCGAGCCCTTCATTTTTTCATCTCCACGCCCAATGTCGGGCTCAGTTATTCCACCATCCCAACCACATCCTTCAGTCTCGTCGGCTACGTGGATGCCGACCACGCCGCTGACCCTGACAATCAACGGTCCAGGACAGGGTTCCTTTTCCGCCTCGAGCCTAGCGGCCCCATCTCCAGGAACTCTCAGAAACAGGAGCTGGTTGCCCTGTCATCGGCGGAAGCTGAATTCATCGCAGCAACAGCAGCTGTTCGCGAAGGTCTCTACCTACAGAAACTGCTGTAGGGAGCGAAAATTCCGGCCTCAACGAACTTTCGCCTGCACTGCGACAACCAGAGCGCGATTCGGATCGCGAACAAACCTGGTTTCGTCAACCGCACCAAGCACATTCCGTTGCGGTACTTCTTCTTGAAGGATGAAGTAGACAAGGGCAAGGTCAACTTGACCTACTGCCCGACCGGTGACATGGCAGCAGACTTCCTCACGAAGCGACTGCCACGCCAGCAGTATTAGTACTGCTCCGAACTTAGTGGCGTGGTCAAGCAGGTCAAGTTGCTGCGGCCAGGAGTGAAGGGGGGTGTTACGAATAGTAAATTGAGAAAGCTTGCTTTCTTTCTTATCAATTGGCATCGTTCTCATTACAATTGGCATCGTTCTCATTACAACATTTGCATCATCGTTCGACATAAGCTAGTGCGAACTAATAACACTAGCTATTATGTACCCTATCCAAGTGGCATTAGCAAGGCGGTTTACACTGGGGTGGGTGGTGGGAATGTTGAGTGAGCCGTTTGAAAATTGAGAAACGTGGGTGGAGGGAAATGAGCTCCAACCCACGGTTTTTGTAGTTGGAGAAGGGCGTTTAGCGCGCTTCGACGATGCCAATTGTGCAGTACAAGCAGCTTCGCTTTCACAATACACAATTTTAAAAAACACTACATGTGTGTTTAAAAATTATAATTACCTGAACATTACTGTGCACTCCTCACCGCAGCAAAGAGAAGCACGCAGTATCGCGAATGAACGCGAAGTGTTAGACGGTTGGAACGCGAGTTGTACCCCCCTAAATGACTCCTAACCAGGGCCTCAGATTCGTTTTTGCCTAGGGTGAACAGTCAGTGTTGTACCTAAAAAAAAAGCTGAGAAATCAGTGTCCTGGTTTAAAAAAAGGGTGACTAATCAGCCTCACAAAAAAACTAAGGCTGAACAAAGCTAGAGTCCATTTTCAATTAAGTGCGTTAACCACCTACTCCTAAATCACGTCCAAGAAAACCGCTGTTGCTGGGCGCTCCTTGCTCAGCCGCCTACCCTCCCAACCTAGTAGCTTGCTACACACAGGCAACAAGGCACAAATCGACGAGGCGAAAGGGAGCACAGGTTGATTTGTTGTGAACAGAGAAGTGAACTTCGTCAAGGAACAGAGGAACATACCGTAACAGACAGGTAAAAAGGAGGGAAAGCAAGCGGCAGAGCAGGGAATGTCGAGACTTGCGTAACCCCAGTCGGCCATGAATCAAGGCGCGCGGGGTTTTAAGAGCCTCTTGACGCTGTTCGGTCTCCAGCAAATGCCTCTACTCCATGAACTCAACCCGAGAGCGAGGGGAGGAAGCATACAATAAAGCTAGGAGCCGTTAATGCAGACAAAAACGAGCAGAAAGCGTCAATACAACTCACCAACTTCGAAAACGCTAGCAGAAACGCACGCCACGGCTTGCACAGCAACCCAGGGACCTCGAGCTGAGAAATCTACGATATGAGTACGGCAGCACGAAGAGGTGCAAGGAAACACTATGGGGGAGTAGTCAGGGAAGCAAGCATTTATGCTACATCAGGGACGAGATCAAAGGGAAATGATGGCGAGCAGAGAGAGATTTGCGCAAGCGAGTGGGGCAATAACGAGCTGTGCGTATAGTGGATGGCGGCGATGAGATAACGATCGAGCCTGCAGAAAGGCATTTGAAAAAACCAAACCCCAAGGGTTTGCAATAGCACCGATGCTGGGAATTTGTACAAGAAAAACCGGTACAGGCTACGTATATGCATTGCAAGATCCAAAATGTTTCACAACTGAATACTCAATACAATCCGTCAGAAGAATGGTTTCCTTTCCTACCAAGAATGATTGCAGTGAACGATATGAAGAAGACATTCGAATCAAGGAACGAAGAAAACATCAACAGTTAGCAACTGTCTACCGAGCACCTCTCCCACCCCATGCACCTCCTGATGTGCCTCCACCACCACCTCCGCCTCCACCTGCAGCAGCAGCCCAGCTACGTGGTGGTGCTTCTGCTTCCCTTCCATTCAGCGGGCCCAGGAGAGCAGCCGCAGAGCCGTCACCCATCCTCACCGTTATACCCTTGTTCTTACGACCCTTGCTCCTCTGCCCACTACCCACACCTCCTGCTCCTTTTCCTGCTGGAGCTCCCTTGCAAGCTCTCGGATTGGCAGACCCACACGCAGCGCAGCAGAGAACAATCGGTTCATTGATGAGCGTACAGATGCCACACGCCCAGCTGTCGCTCTCTGATTGGTCAGCAGCGGGCTTGGTGCTACCCTCTGCAGAAGCAGTGTTCAGCGTAGCATGGCTAGCCAGCGAGGGCATGGAAGGGGCAGAAGATGAGGAGGAAGAGGAAGAAGAGGAAGAAGAGGAAGAGGAGGAGGAAGAGGAAAACGAAGCTTTCTTCCCTTGCTTTGCCCCCCCTGCACCACCAGCACCACCAGCAGCACCACCAGCCATCCCTCTCATCATCGCCTCTTTCTGTGCATGCGCCTGCAGCATTTCCTCTCTCTTCCTCGCATCCGGGCACAGCCGGGCGAGCTGAGGCACCACATGACCAATCCCCAAGCGGCACAGGTGCGCATAAAACACCACAGTCGCCATCTTCCCCGACTTAAACTGCACCGACTTATCCTTAAAGTCCTCAAACTTGCTCTTGTCACCTCCAAAGGTAGACCTGATCTCCTCTATCACCGCCCGGTTTGCAGCGCGGAACTCTGCTTCGTCTAGCTGCTGCTGCCCGTCCCGCTTGCTCTCATCCTCCTCCTCCTGATCCTCCTTTCCTGAATAACCATTCTCCTTACATGCCGCTGCCGCGGGTGCTGCTCCTGCTGATCGTGACTGTTCTGCCCGTCCAGGAAAAGATGATAGATTAGTACTGCCATTAAGCCCTTCTTCCTCACCCTCCCCCTCACTCCCCCCCTCACTCTCTTCCTCACTCTCCTCCTGGCCTGCAGCAGACAGGAGAGAGAAAGCAGAGGGGGTCACAGCCAAACCACTGTCACTGCCACCCACTCCAATCCCCACTCTACCGCCATGCTCCCTCCCACTCACACCCACCATGGCCCATCCATCCCCACTCCCCCCATCCCCATATCCGCCACCACCACCGCCACCACCACCACTTCTTCCATCACCACCCCCATCCCCAACGCTCCGCCACACCCCCGAGCCTCCCGTATTGGCTTGGCGACCAATAGGTCCGGCGGCATTGAGGACTTGAATGCCGCCCCTTGCCCCCCTTGCAGGCAACCCTGTCCACCCAGTTCCCTTCTTCCCTCTACCCCCTTTCCTCCCCCCTCCTCCCCCTGCCAAGCCCTGGTTAGTGACACTGCTCCAGCCTGCATCAGCCATGAGAACAGCAGCCATTGTCGCCCCACCTGCTCCACCTGCTCCTCCTCCCGCACCTGCTGTTGCACTCCCTCTGCTGCCGCTGCTGCTGCTGCTGCTGCTGCCTGCGCCGGTTGACGTGCCTCCCGCTGCCCCTCCCCCGGCCGCCCATGCTCTCCCCTTGCTCTTCTTCTTCCCAGTGCCAGCGGCATTGGGGAGCGGCGGAAACAACGCATCCACCACAGCCCCTGGCGTAGCACCTGCATGCGCCCTGTCCACATATGCAGCACCGGCACTACCACCACCACCTCCACCACCGCTGCCGCTGCTGCCGCCCGGACCAGTTCCATCCGCACTGGTACCAGGCACACTGGAGGAGAGAGACGGGAAGGCTTCGACTCTACTCTCACTCCCTCCACGCCCCCCTCGCTCAGCCGCAGCAGCAGCAGCGGATTCCCTCAGTGCTGCATCCACCATTGCAAGCTCTATACTCGCTGTCATCGCATCCCCATCACTCACTCCCCCTCCCCCTCGCCTTCCCCCTCGACCTCCGCCTCGGCCTCTTCCCCCCCTGCCTCCGCCCGCTGCTCCGCCCCTGCCCCCCTGGCCGTGTGCGAGCAGGGGCATGTGGGGGCGGGATGCAGAGAAGGGTTCTGAGCCCGGTCCTTCGGAGTTGGTGCGCGGCGTGTGGAAGTTGAATAGTTGAGATGCTGGGATCTGGAAAGGAAAAGCAGAGGGGACGGGGGGAAGGACGAATGGGAAAGACGAGCAGGGAGGGAGCGGAAAGAGGGCGAAGAAAGACGGTGGGGAATTTTGGGGGAGGAGGAAGGAAGGTGGGGAAGGGAGGTGGGGGGAAGAGAGTGCTAAGGGGGACAGAACGGTGGAAGGGAATGAGAGAGGCAGAGGAAGAGACGGAATGAGTGAGGCAGAGGAAGAGACGGAATGAGAAACGCATGGCGAAGTCCCTTCCATTGCTTCTCTCATTGTGCAGCAAGGAAGCAGGTTAAGGCAGAGAGACTGGGGCCGAGAGACTGGGGCCGAGAGACTGGGGCAGAGAGACTGGGGCAGAGAAACTGGGGCAGAGAAACTGGGGCAGAGAAACTGGGGCAGAGAAACTGGGGCAGAGAAACTGGGGCAGAGAGACCAAGGCAGGATCATAAGCAAGGATGTTACCTTTTTTTCCTAATAATCCCCTTCTGTCTCTGAGGCGCCTGAGGAATGGAATCTCCCCTAAATCCCCTCCCTATCCCCTCCCTTTCCCTCCCCTCCCCTCCCCCTCGCCTTCCCCGTACTGTCTAGCCTCACCCTACCTGCAGCACGCGGTTGCGCTCGGCGCGCTTCATGTTGCCCGCGTGCATCTGGGCTATGTGGCGCTTGAGCTCCAGGTCGGAGCTGAAGACCACAAACTTCTTCTCCAGGCACTCGCGGTCCTCGCACAGGTGGTGCTCCTGGCGGAAGTGCGCCTGCCGCGCGCGCGCGCGCGCACGCGGGGGGAACCCCGAGGAGAAGGGGGAGGCGGAGGGCGGGGGGGTGGGGGGCGGGGGAAGACGGGGTGCGAGAGCAGGGCCGGGGGGCGAACGGGGAGAGGGAGGCGCGTGAGAAGAGGAAACGGGGAGGATGCTGGCCGAGAGAGTGCAGGAAGAAATGGGAAAAGGAAATGCGAGCGTGCGTAAGAAGGGTGGGTGAGGGGGGGTAGGTGGGGGGCTGGGGAGCTTGGGGGCTGAGGGAACGGCAACCGGCGGCAGCAAAAGGCACGGATAATACTGAGGCTTTTTCCCGCGTTCTCAAAACGGCTCGGATTGAAGTCAGGGGGGGGAGTTTGAGTACGAAGGACGGACATGGACACACGGACAAAGATGGAGTATCAATATCACACATGGACTAGGCGGAAAAGGCAACGGCAAGAGCGAGAATGCTGGAATTTTGGCCTCACTCACCTCGAGGTCATCATATGATTGGAAGTACTCATAGCTGCCGGGATGCGCCCTTTGAGTCGGCTCAAAAATCATTACTCGGACAAGGCAAGGGGGCAACAGCGATAGCGCTTGAGTGATCAGCTCACCTCGAGGTCATCATATGATCGGAAGTACTCATAGCTGCCGGGATGCGCCCTGCTCCACCGAGAAGGGCACGCATCCGATGAGAGAGCAGGGAAGCGGGGAAGAGGGGAAGAGGAGAAGAGGGGACGAGGGGGTGCGGAGAGGCCGGGAGGGAAGGGAACGGAAGGGGGAGAGGCCAGGGTTGGTTGGTGGTTGGGGAAGAGAGAGCGATCGAAGCACACACTCGAGCAACCATGGAAAGTCTTTCAAAGGACTGGACCGGCACAAGCGACGATTGCGGATTGCTGGGAAGAATGCTGAGCCCCAACTTCCTAAAAATAGCACTCTCAATCAAGTTTAGGCCCCCACGACCCCCCACACCAAGCCCCCCCTCCTTCCCGTCCTGCCCCTCCACCGAGTCCCCTTAAGTTCAAGACCTGACGCCCCCACTTCCAACCACCAACCCCCCACACCCCGCAACCCTCTCCGTTCCTGCGTTCCTTCTTCCCTGCCTTTCCCCTTCCGCCTCTTCCCCTCCCCTGCCGCGCAATGCCCCTCCCCGCGCACCTCTGGCAGATGTGACACGTGTAGTGCTCCTGGCTCATGTGCTGGTATAGTTCGTTCTCGCCGTAAAATCTCTTAACGCAGAATTCGCAACGCGGGTGCCCGCGAAACCCGCCCCACACCTCACTCGCCTCCGCCTCGCGGTCCGGCTCCGCGTCGCCCGTCGCCGCGTGTCGCTCGAGCTGTCGCCGAGTGTACAGCCGCTGCTCGCACACGAACACCTTGCGACCCTCCAGGCACAAATCGCACATGCCCAGCCGATGTGACTGTTGCAGGTGCGCCTTTAACGAATTGACGTGCGTGAAAGAAAATTCCTGCGGGACAGAACCCTTCAGCATCTTTCCCCCACGGCCTCCCCCTTTTCCTCCTCTCCCCTTCCCGCCGTTTCCGCCCCTTCCCCCCGCCCCATCACCCCGACCGGAACCTTCCCCCGCGCCACCCGACGTGGCCTCAGCGGCTGCCGCATCAGCACGAGCGCTGGCGGCGGTGGCGGCGGCGGCGGCAGCGGCGTCCATGGCGGAAGGCGGCGCGTCGCCTTGGCAGACGCGGCACGCGAGGCGGGTCAAGGCGGCCATGGTTTTAAAGTGGTCCTCGTCGTCGAAATACGCGTGCATAGTCGGCTCGTACCAGAAATCGCCTCCCGATAACCCGGGCTTCTTCACGGCGCCGGGCAGGATCGAAAAGTCGTAGGAGCAGCGCGTGTACTCGCCGAGAGCCTGACCGGGGCAGGAACGGAAAAGACGGGTGACATGAATGCACCGGCGTTAAAATGTTGCTTGATTGGTCCATTCAGAAAGCTTCTGCTGCACCAGAGGAGCTGGGTCAGCTAGCTATGAGGGTACGCGACGACTGGTGATCGTTCATCCCCTTCCTATTCGCGTTCGCTAGTTATGGAGATGACCGATGTGAATTAGCAGGTGCCCAGCCTCATACGCGAAATGGATAGAAAAGACGACCACGGCAGGGGGAGATGTCGAGAGGAGAGAGACGGGTAGCTCGGTTGGGATCGGTATACCTTGGTGACGACGACCGCGGGGCAGTCTTGCTTGCATATGCAGCAGCGACGGTCGTTCATGACGATGCGCAGGCGCGCGACGCACATGGAGCACACGTCGCGATGGCGGCACGGGCCGATGGCCACCCAGCGAAGCGGCTCGGCGCACACCACGCAGCAGTCCTCCATGGTCGGGAGCGGAGGTGGCTGAGCGACGATCGCGCACGCACGGGATGTGACGATCGCGGACTTACGCGCAGCGAGGATAGTGGACACACGGGGAAGGAGAATCGCTATCGCACAAGCACGAAAGAGCCTTCGCCTTCCAATTACCAGTCGTCGCTTGTCGAAAGGGGAGGGACGTGGGCCAATGGAGAATGAGGTAAGGGGAAAAGAGGCAGTGGAGAGGTGGGCAAGGCGAGGTTGGACAGGGCACAGTAGGTCATGTGAGGTTTGGTTCGGTGGGGGATGGTGAGGAGAGTATTGCGGCGGGTAAGGTGAGAGCAGAGGAGAGCGGAGAGGCCCTACCAGAAGCGAGGCCAAGGCGGATGGCCCAAGCAGAGAGCAGAGCGCGTGGCGGAAAGGGGAGGGGAGCGATCCTGATGTAGCGCAGCCGCCACGCTCAACGGGGTGGTTTTCTTGGGAATTCCTGGTTGTGGCAGGCTGAAGCTGCGGAGCCGAGGGAATCCCCATTATCAGATGCTCAGATGAAACGAGCTGTAAGTTTCACCGCATTGAAACGCCCCCCACCTCCCCAAACGTGGACAATTATAAGCGAGCTCTCACGAAATGCCCTAATATCGCGTCGTTGTATGGTTTTGTTCTGCCCTCTAGTAGAGAATTTGCCACAAACGCAGATGGGACTTTTTTGTGCAGTGCTTTAGGAGAATGGCAAAGGTCGTCTTGATTGAGGCCAGAATTGTAGTCTCAAGAAGGTGACGTGGCATTATGGGGATTCTGGTGATTGGATAGAGTCTTTGACACAATCTAGCACAATCCATATATTTTCTAGTCTTGCAGATAATGTAGGCCAAACCTAGGATACTGCAACTAGGACTAATTTTGTTGTTGTCTGAATAAATGATGTATGATGCTGGGATTGAATTTCCAGTTCTCGAATTCATCCTTCTGCTCCAGATTTCCAGCTCAGCATGAGTGCTTGCATGTTCGGACACCCAACCTCCACTGCATTTCGCGCTACCGAGGCGCGTCGGAAGCGCGCGAGTGCGCAATGCCGCGCTTCCGCCATCGCATCCGTGCATGGCACCCAGCTCCATCATCTCGAAAGTTCCTTCGCCTTCCAAACCATCTCCACCCATTCCCACCGAGACTCTTGAGCCTCACCTTCGCTGGGATGATTGGCATCGCTGCGAATCCCACGCCCCTGCTTGCGTTGCCTGCGGTTTCTCTTTCTGTAGGGATGAGAGAGACTGACTAACCGCTGGAGAGGTTGCGCCGTTTGCGGTGTGTGTAGAGTCACTGCTAGTCGTGAGGTTTTGACGCGAGCCGAGCCGAGCCGAGCCGAGTTGAGCAGAGCCTAGCCGCGCGGAGCTGAGCGGAACCGAGCCGAGCCGAGCCTAGCCGAGCCGAACTAAGCTGAGCCGAGCTGAGCCAGCCTGAACCGAGCTGAGCCGGGCGATGGCGGAGCAGGGGTTTCTTCCAATAGTTTGCGACAATGGCTCCGGCATGGTGAAGGTGAGAGAAATGGTCTGAACCGTGCATCCGCTCACTGAATCGTCAATTACTCTCTTCCGTGTGCTTTGGTGTGGTTTGCACAGCGGACAACGTTGGTTTGGCAAGCTCCGTTCACGCCACACTGCTCCAACCGCTCTTATTGCTGCGGGTCGATTGTGAGAATTCTCAGAAACAGCCTGAGAAATTTCAAAAGCTATCTGGAAATATATATATATATATATATATATATCACCTGAGAATGCTCAGCAAAAACTTGCTGCTGCTGTCCCAATTCCTCCGACAGGCCGGATTCGCTGGGGACGACGCTCCCCGCGCCGTGTTCCCCAGCATCGTGGGGCGTCCACGTCACCATGACGTCATGATAGGGATGGGGCAGAAGGACGCGTACGTGGGTGACGAGGCACACAGCAAGCGAGGCATCCTGACCATCAAGTACCCCATCGAGCACGGTAAATACCCTTCCAGAATTAACCATGGTGTGCAGACATGGTGTCTGATCTGAATTTCTCAGGTGTGTTGACAGGGTGCTGGCATGGTGTGTGCGTGTGGGCACACACATCTTTCCATCCAGACTCTCTCAGCAAACACCTCCTCTCCCCCCCTCCCCACCCACTCCCCTCCCCTGCGCCTCTCCTCTTCCCTCCCTCCCTTCCCTCCACCTGTCCACCGCACCACAACAGGCATAGTGAGCAACTGGGACGACATGGAGCGCGTGTGGGCGCACACCTTCTACAACGAGCTGCGAGTGTCCCCCGAGGAGCACCCTGTGCTGCTCACCGAGCCGCCACTCAACCCCAAGGCGAACCGCGAGCGCATGGTGCTGATCATGATGGAGTCGTTCCACGTGCCCGCTGTGTACGTTGCCATTCAAGCCATTCTCAGCCTCTACTCCTCCGGCCGCACCACAGGTCCGCGCCTCCCTTCCTCCTGCCCCCTGCCCCCTCCCCCCTGCCTGCTGCTATGTTGGGTGCTCTGCTGGGTGTTCTGCTGGGTGCTATGCTGTGCGAGCTGCACATGGTGGCGATTCTGGCACTTGGCTAAAACTCCTTGTCCCTCCTCCCAACCCCAGGTCTGGTGGTGGATTCAGGCGATGGGGTCTCCCACGTGGTGCCCATCTATGAGGGCTACACGCTGCCACATGCCATCCACCGATTGGACCTCGCGGGCCGTGACGTCAGCAGCCATCTGGCGATGCTGCTGACGGAGCGAGGCTACTCCTTCACCACCTCAGCAGAGAGGGAAATCGTCCGGGACATAAAGGAGAAGCTGTGTTACGTGGCAGAGGACTATGAGAAAGAGATTGCGCTGGTTGAGAGTGGTGGAGTAGGAGTGGGAGGAGTGGGAGGTAGAAGGAGAGGAGGGGAGGAGGGCGGGGCTGGAAGGAAGAAGGGAGGGAGGTCTGAGAGGGAGACACCGAGCGGTAGTGCTGACACTGCCGCTGCTGCTACTGCAGCTACCAGTCTCAACAAGACCTACGAGCTGCCCGACGGGCAGGTGATAACAATCGGTTCGGAGCGGTTCCGCGCGCCAGAAATTCTCTTCTCGCCCTCCCTCGTGGGCATGGAGGCACCAGGCCTGCACGAAGCAGCATACAACACCATCATGAAATGCGATGTGGATGTGCGGAGGGACCTGTATGCAAACATAGTGCTGAGTGGCGGCTCTTCTATGTTCCCGGGGATGCCTGAGAGGATTCAGAGGGAGGTGGGGGGACTGGCGCCGGGGAGTGTGCGCGTGCGTGTGGTGGCGCCTCCTGAGCGCAAGTACAGCGTGTGGATCGGCGGGTCTATCCTTGCGTCTCTCACCACGTTTGAACAGGTGGGTGTTATGAGGGACGATAGGCGTGGGATGGGGGTGCTATGGGTGATGTGGGTGCTATGGGGTATGCATGTGTGCATGCGGGTGCGTTGGTTATGTGGGTGCGATGGGGTGTGTATGTGTGCGTGCGTGTGTGCGCGTGCGTGTGGTGGCGCCTCCTGAGCGCAAATACAGCGTGTGGAACGGCAGGTCTATTCTTGCGTCTCACCACGTTTGAACAGGTCGGTGCGATGGGGGATGCTAAGGGATGGTGTGCGGTGCGGTACGGCTGGGATGGTGTGCAATGGGGTGTGTGGGTGCTTTGGGCTGCCCCTTTTGACTTGCCTCTGAAGTGGTTTCAACAAGTGGAGCTTGCTTGGCTGGTTAGGGTTGGATTATTGTTGTGCAAGGAGATGAATTACCGTATGTATTTGGTATTTGGGTGCGATGAAGGAAAACAGAAGCATGAATGCCGTACATCGAGCATTGGACACCAATCGTTATCTTATCTCCTTGTCCCGTCCCCCTTTCCCTCTCCCCCTTCCCGTCTCACCTTCTCTTTTCTCCTCTGCTATCGCTCCCTCGGTTCCGTACAACACAACGCAATGCAGATGTGGATCACAAGGGAGGAGTACGAGGAGTATGGCCCCAGCATTGTGCACCGCAAGTGTTTCTAGACACTCATACACGCACACACACACACACACACACACACACACACCTATCCTCATGTCCCTCAAAGTCAGTCAGTCTGTCCCTCCCAAGACCCAACTCCCGACTTCCTATCTGCTTTAAGCAAGGCTATGTAAATATTCCCACCACCAGTGTACACAACACAGTTTTCTTGTTTATCCCATGGCTAACTGCTAGCTAGTATGAACATTAACATCTTCAGCACAGCCGCTCATTATCGGTAGCTTGGCCCGTCCTAGGTCGCTTGCCCCACCGAACTGCTTCTTCCTTACTGGTACGGTACTGTACTTTCTAGATAGGCTCTGCATAGTATGATGCTTTCCTAATGCATTGTCACCTGTCGTTAGAACACAGACATTGTTTGATCTGTTGGGCTGAAGTGCCCTAGAATCTTTGTAGAGTTTAAGTCTGAGTAGAATTGTAGTAGCGGAAGCGTTTGAATGAAAGTACTTGAACCACCTTGCGCTAGTATGTGAGGGCAAAGTAAGTTGATTAAACAAGCAAATACAGAGGTTTATATAAGAGTACAAGGAATACGAATAGATAAGTTAAAACCGTTTTACTGTTGCGATTCGATACAGCGCGACTCGGGCAACTGCTCAATGTCGAGTCAGTTGTGTGTCCTTGCTGTCGCGCTGTATTTGTCAAGTCAAAGGTCGCTGACCTTTGACCTTCTCGTAACCTCCAGGCGGTTACCCTAACCTCCGAGGGTTGACTCGCGATGCTTCGATTCGGACTGCTTCGCTAGTGTCCTGAGTTTCGACACGACAGAGGCGCTTAAGACTTATTATTCCCAACACTCCCCTTCGCTTCTGGAGTGTCGCTGATGGTGACGTGGCCTTGTCCGGTCAGCATCATGCAGTACTCGAACTTCTGTTTTCCGAGTTTCTTGGTCAGATAATCGGCTGCCATCTCGGACGTGGGACAGTAGGATAATTCGAGTTTCCCTTTCTCGATCTCGTCCTTCACGAAGAAGTATCGCAGAGCGATATGCTTCGTTCTGT